AATAGCAGAGCTCTGGGTTTTCTGCGCACATTCCCAAATCAAAAAGAGGGTCCGACCACATTTGTCATGGGAACTTCAGCCATGTAAACACACACCCTCCACCCCGTTTCTGACCGACAATCTCACACACACACACACACACACGCGCGCGCGCATACGTGCATGCAAGCACACACACACACACATGAACACATGCAAAAACACGCGCACACACACACGCATTCACACACACAAATGCATGCACGCACGTGTACACACATGCACGTGCGCACACACACATATGCACACTCGTGCATGCACACACACTCTCTCTCTCACACACACACACGTATAAGCAGAACTATTTCAACAGCCACAGAAAAGTCAGAGTGCCACCTAGTGCTGCCTGAACTACATCATCCTTGTTTCTGTAAATATTTCATTTTGTGACTCAAAGAAGTTGCTTGTGATGACTTAGATTAATTTCAACAAACACAACAAAGACATCTGACAGCTTTTGTAAATCAAGTTGAGTTTGTGCATCAGTTCTATTTGTTATTCCATGGAAAACTTTACTTTTTCCTATTTTTGCTTTCACAGAACACTTCACCATCAGTTAGACCTTCTAGCATCTTAGTTTCTCCTTTGAAATGTATTTAATTACACCGCATTCCCAACAATACACAACGATTCACCTCTGCACACACCAGCGTCCCGTATGTCAGTCTACAGAATTCTGATCTTTAAGGACACCGGGCTTTTTCAATCAAAGCTTTGATTGAATGCTTTGCCATCCTCAGCACTCACATCCTTGCAGAAACACACACGTTGTTGACAGAGAGTGTCTCGAGCAACATCATTTACCACTTAGGCTCCTCCCCGAGGACTGTGCCATCCCTAATGCGCAGCAGATACGTTGATAGCCCCTGGTTTCTGTCGAGAAGTGCACGTCAATCAACAGCTCTTGTCAACGTCACCAAAGCAAAGTGTTCCTGAAAGATCTTTTAACTGAGTGCTTTTCTAGCCATCCTCCTCCCGTCGACACCCACAGAAACACACACACACTCAGCCATTTCCATCTAAGCAATCACTTCTCCTGGAGTTCTTCTTTTCGGACGTGTAACAGTAATTGAGGTTGCTCCCCTGGGTGCAGTGCATTCTGGGCCGTTAAGTGCTGTTTCTTGTTGTTTCTGGGGTTTTTTTCTCAAATGGCTTGTAGTTTGGCTATTGTGTTGTTTCTTCCTGCATTCCAGTGTAAGTGTAAGCAATGGGCCGTATTACATCCATCATTAGAGAATAGAAGCCTTGTCCATTGTGCTGCATTGGAGAGCTTATGTCTCCTCTCTGGATTAACCAATCAATACAACAGAGTTCTGATACTTTCTGCACACATCCAGTCACTGGGGAACATATAAATAAATAAATGGCCACTTCTTCCACAGAGCACCAGTAGATCTTAAATCCAAGCCAACCGTGTAAATTTCCAAATCGACATTCAGCTGTTCAGTGGCTGCAGCGCTGACCTCCATGCTGGGTCTCGGGCCTTGGCTGGAGCACACTCTGTGACCTTTCTGCGCATTGATGACATTGTCCGTCCAGAAGTGGGAGTGACTGATCAGGATTGACACAAACAGCAAGCGCCCTGCCCGGCCTGTCACACAGCATCACTGGGTCACTGTAGCATGCCTGAATGCCAGATGAGGAGGGATGGTGAGCACACTCAGGGCGGTGACCTGCTGCTTCTGAAGTAGGTTATGGTTCTGAGGGACAGATTCGGACAAAACAGGAATGGTTTTAGATTGGTGTAAAAAATATGGATCTAGTGAAAGTCAGGTAGTGTTGACCTGAGAGAGAAAGGTGGTATTAATAATATTAGTGGATAATGTTGCAGATTTCATACAGACACTGTAGAAAGATGGGAATAGCCAACATATTTATTAAAAGGTCTTTTCATTTCTCTCTGCTGAAGACTATGTTTGAACCAAGACTCATGTCGCTTCATATCTTTTAGGTTGGAACAATACTATAAGTGATACACACACACACACACACACACACACACACACACACACACACACACACACACACACACATGCACACACACACTTTATTTATTTATTTATTTTTTGCTGTTTATGTTGGCGTGTGACTGTAATGAGCATAATGTTGTTGTGGAAGTTCAGGCTTGTCTTGCCCAAGCCCCCACAATCCTGTGAAAGTTAAGCCAACAAGAAAGTGGCAAAAATTGCAGTTCCACCTTCATCCGCTAGGGACTGGCACCAGAAGTGAGCCAATCCTCATGGACTCCCATGTTAAAAATGAGTATTTCACAGCAGAAATAAACATGTTTACAGCTTGGGTCAAAAAAAATTTTAGGTTCAATAATTCTACTTTACATTCATAACCACTCTGAGGGGTGGGTTTCTTTGTAACTCTTTCATTTAAGTGTAAACACATGCTTGAAGTTATGAATAATTAATGAGCATCCACATCAGAGCTAGCGCTAGGAGGTAGCTCCAGCAAAAGGCCTCAGCCTGAGCCTCCTATTACTAGATGATCGGCCATTTCAACTCGCTGAAATGTAGTTGTGTCCTCAGTGTGTTCGTGTTTGGATGTTAATCATGGAGTTATTTGGACAAAGAGGGTGAGCTGTGGTAGCCTCTCCTGCCAGACTCCTCCTCTGTTTAATTCTGCACAGAGAAAGGGTCTGGTAACTCACAGGCAGAGAGGCACATGAGGGGCGGGGCTAAGCAGCTCAAAAATAACCTATCAGAAGAAAGACGGAAATGCTGACTGTACCGCATGACGCTGTAGTTTTTAGCTATAGTAAAAAAAAAAGGCATCTGGCAATGGCACAAACATCCTTTTTAATTAGAAGAAAGGCTTTTAGCGCTTCTACTTGTTGTGGTTTTAAAGACGTTCAAGTCATTTAGAACAGAGGAAAGAGCCGCAGCAAACTCTGTCGCTGTCTTCGTTGTTTATGAGAAACTGAGCGTCGCTGTGTGTGACGTCCGCGACGCTGTAGTTTTTTAGCTGTAGTCAAAAATGACATCTGGCGACAGCATAAACATCTTTACAAGAAAGGCTTTTAGTGCTTCTACTTGTTGTTTTAAAGATGTGTCCAAGTCATTTAGACCAGAGGAAAGAGCCGCAGCGAACTTCTCTTCAGTCACCATGTTTGACAATCTCAGTGTTGTGGTGTGTGACGTATGCCACTCAGGGGGTGGGGTTATGTTAATAGGAGAGTTCCCAGACCCTTTCTCTGTGCAGAATTAAACAGAGGAGGAGTCTGGCAGGCCAGGCTAAAGCTGTGGTATTGACTGTGCTAACAGATCATTCACTAGATCTTTCCTTCATTTTTATCAGTTTGTAAAATTATATTTCTGTACTTTATTTTGTTGGTTGAATGGGGGAAATGCTATGAATTTATCACAATACTGCTTTGCTGAAGATGGGTTAAAATATAATGTGTTGGTGGGGCTGGCTGACTGAGGCAGAGGCACTGGATTAGCAGAGGCTTAGGGGGTTTGCTGGTCCTGTGAGGTCAAAGATTAGTTAGGTCGCCGCTACAGAGAGGTTTGCCGAGTTTTGGTAACGTGTCTCTTCGTTTAACAGCGGCAGTCCTGCGATCAGAAATCTGTGAATCTGCTGCTTCATCGAAGGAAGCCCAGCAAGGTGGGCACCCGGCCTCCTGTCTCTCAGCAAGAACCAGCTGCTACATGCAGGCGGCCACAAGCTCCTTCTCTTCCAAGGGGCCCGAGATGCACTGTGCGTCCGCCTGGCATCCATGCTAGGTTTTAGTTGTGTTGCTCGCCTATGGGGCTCTCTGAGGGAGATTACAGAAACACTGCTGCACTTTGAGTTGATTTTTGAGTTACTTTATCCCGTTTCTCTTGCTAAAAGCACCCAAAAAAAACCTCTGTTGCTTGAGTAAGCATATAGCTAATCTCTCACTGATCTCTGACCGAGGCGGAGCATAACCTCACAAGTGGCCAGGGTGCCCGGCTCCGATCACAGCGGTCTGAGGCGCTGCTTGTATTTTAACAGTCCATATTAGAGTGGACCAGCATGATTACAGCCTTGCATGGAAGCCAGGCAGCTGCACGGGTGGGCTGCCCCAGAACTCATTCTTAGCTTCTTGGGTTACCCAATTTAGCTGGTGGCTACAAAGGTTCATTTCTTCCAACCCTGTTCCACCCGTAACAGCCCCACCCTCAGCTCCACCTCTTTTACCATTTATGGATTGTCTGGGCATGACGAGAAGTGTGACATGGCCAAAATGCCTGTAGTGTGAACCTCCCATTTGGCATCAAACCTGCTCCACAGAAAGCAATAAGCAGGTTAGTCTATCTTCTTAATATGTCAATGGTCTTGACTTATCTAAATGGGCTTTTTTTTTCTTTTATAAACATAGTGTGTGTGGCATTTGTCATTTATTTGCTAAAGCGATACCTTTGCAGTCACAATAAAGGCTACTGTACTTTTTTCAGGTCTAACTGGTCAAGAACATAGATATGATGATTATATGAAAATGACGTAAATAAATACAATTGTATGATTTGGAATTTGTGCACAGTGGGATTTGAACAGGACCTTTGTCTGACTTGATGTTAATTAACAAAACACAAATATAGCAAATGAAAGAAATTCATGATGAACAAAATGCTACAAATTTCAGTCAGTCGCTTGTCTCTTTGCATCTGGCGTTTTATCTTTTAACATATATATATATATACCTATACATATATATATATATATATATATATATATATATATATATATATATATATATATATATATATATATATATATATATATATATATATATATATATATGTGTGTGTGTGTGTGTGTGTGTGTGTGTGTGTGTGTGTGTGTGTGTGTGTGTGTGTGTGGGCCTGTCATATTCAGGTATCAATTTACGAATATGTTCACTGATGTAGCCGTTTGCATGGTGTAAAAACTACAACTCCCATACTGCTTGGCGCGGTTGTTGATGACGTGAGAAGGGCATTTCTCTCAGTAACCTTTCCTGTCTGTCTGGTGGTGCGTTTGCGCCTCCTGTCTTGAAAAGGAGGAGAAGGATAGTTTACTTTTCAGAGTTCAAGGTTTGGTTTCGGTGTTCGTCTGGAGTAAAGGGTTTTGCTGAGGCAGAAAGCTCCCTTTTCACAGAGCCAACATGCTGAACATGTGGAAAGTTAGGGAGTTGGTTGACAAAGCGTGAGTATCTCCTGGAACGTGTTTAATTTATTTAGTGGTATTTTTGCCTGTAGTGTACCTGTTTGAAAGAGACACGTACTCAGAACTTTGACGTCACTCCAACAAGTTAGCTAGCCTAAAAGCTAATGGCCAGTTAGCTAACTTTTGCGAACATCGTTAATCATAATTACGCGTGGTTACACGTACTTTTTACTTAACTTTGTGCTTGTCTGCCATGACATATTGGAGGTTATGATAAGACTAGGCGTGTTGTTTTGAACTTAAGTTTCTCCGACGCCGCTATCTAACCCGGTCAGCTAACCAGCTAATTATGTAGTTTTTAAGTATAGCCAGCTAAGCTAGTTTGACAGCTCCTCGTCTGATGGAAAGTTAAGGAATAAACGTTTATCTCGTCTGGCCATTTTAGCCTTAGCAGTCTGGAAATGTACATTAGGCATTAAAACGAGGAGTCTGCATACTTTGTTTTGCTATAGACACTTGTTAAACCTATCGTACAGTAGCTAAACTTATATGGTAGTCGTTTATTATAAAGTTACGACACTACTGGTTTATGTCGTAGCCAAGTGGCTGTATCATGACATTGTTAATAAGTTGAACTAACAAAAGCAACAAATACCCGAAACCTTCCATGTGCTCAACAAGATATCCAGGAAAGTTAGCTTTAATATGACTGATGAAATTGTTACTGACGTGTTATTGTCATTTTTATTAGCTCATTTATTGTCAGTCTATCGCGTGGTAAATCTATCATCGCACTATGCTATAGAGCATTAGAGCCATGATGAGTGATAGTGGAGTGAATGATCCGTTTTCCGCTTTTATTGCTGTGGTTCTCATGGTTGGGTTAGGGGCCTCCCCGAGGGACATAAAGCACCAAATTGGCAGTTTTGAGAATATCGTCATTCGTTCTTTTGTAACTTAAAACATTAGATTTTATCTCTAAAGGTAAAACAGGGCCATAATGACCCTTTTTTTTTTTTACTTTTAGAGATAAAACTAGTTATTTAAATATTATGTTGGTTATATAATCTGTTTTTGTTGTAATCTTGCCTTGGCTTCTAAGGAATATTTTTGGCAAGCCAGTCCCGAGTGTCTACTACTGTTATTATGTGGCATTGAGAAACAATGTGCTAATGGCTATTTTCCTTAAGTTAAAATGGTAATAATCGTTTAAAATAATCCAGTCAAGAAAGTTGTAAGAATGAGTCAAACTATGTGGGAAATGCAGCGTTAGTCCTTGGTGTGATTTTTGGTGATCTGATGGAGGTATCACATAGGTTAGCAATCTGGTGGCCAGTAATTTACTACATGAGCTATTCTTCAATCTCACACTGAAATTGGCTGATACTTTGTTCTGTTTTGGACCGTAGATTACTTTCAGCTGCTGACTGAACAAGAGCATGCTGTGCAGCACTGTACTCTGCTCCAGGGTATTGCACAACTTTCCCTCGCTTCAAAGGTTTAGTGGCTAATTTTGTCGACCCAGACAATAGAATGTTATTGAGTCTACTCATGGCTTTGGTTCTTTTGAAAACGATCTTCTCCCGAGAGCATGACCTTTTTGATATTTAAAATCTGTCAGTAATAGAAAAGAAAGGGGCATATGTTCTGTTTGTTTTTTGTTTTTGCATGATTTACATTCTGTTCTGTCTTCCTGTTGTAGGATGGTTGTTTAGCATGTTTACTTGCTTTGTCTGTCTGAAAACACTCCATAACATCTTTAATCAAACGCTATGTTCTACTGTTACTGTAGAACAAATGCACTGGTGTTAAAATGCAATATTTCTTTGTGTGAATATTGTCACATGAAAGATAAAATGACCTGAAGCTCACAAGTAACAGCAGTGGAAATGCTCTGACACAGCGGAAATTTGTGTGACAGTGTGTCATAGTGGGAGTATCAGAACTTCCGTTTGAGCTTATTGATAGCTAAAACTGCAGCATCTTCATCAGTGAAGAGATAAACCTGTTGCATCACTGCGTAGTGTCCTGCTGTGGCGTTCTGTCGGTCCTTCAACGGCCATTTTAAGTTTCACAAATGGCTCAAAACGACTGATTCTAGTGCTGCATAAAGAATATTACCATCAGAATTGGAATCAAATCAGAGTTTCACGACCATCTGTGACTAGTTACCCTGCTCCTTCTGTAGTAATATAGGATAAATAACAAAGGGTGTTAAACTTTCTTAGCATGTTTGCCACAAGTCCTATTGTTTCATCTTACCAAAGAGTTGCTTGTTAGGGTGATGAGTAGGAATAGAACTATAGGTGTCTTCCTGCCTGCATGTTTTATGTTTTCCTGCAACGGCACACCTTATTTGGATCAATGGAAGAATGGAAAGCTTCTGAAGAACTCGAGGACCTGCTGCAGAGGTGATGCAGTCACTAAGTCGAGCGTGTCGGGCTTCCATTATGCCAGCTGTAGAACAAATCTGTGCTGTTGACATCTGTGTTTCACTGCGTATGTGGCATTTGTGAAGCACACATGAGAAGGTTTGAGTTTCAGATTCCTTGTTCGCCTCACCTCAGATAAAGTTGTGATCGAGTTTCATGAATAAGGACTTGCAGAATGACATTCTGGTTTTTCCTTACGCATCTGAAGTTGTGTAAGAAACTTGTTTTAAGTTAATGAGTTGTGACTCACAAAACATCTGAGCACACACAGGCCTTTGCAGGTAAATATACGGATCACTGTGATGCAAATACTGTAGAAATCCGCTTGAAAACCAGTTTAACCAGTTACAGCTGAATATGCTGGTGAACTGGTCTGGACTTCTTTGGTTTCTTGAATTTGCCTTCATTTGAACCCTTTTGGATTACTGATGAATAGGCGACTCAGTCACTTTTGTAAATGAGGAATGCTTTAAATTGGGATTCAGAATAATTTCTGGAACAGCGATTCTATCAAGTAATGTAAACAGTGTACTAATACTATGTAAATCCACCTTATTTGTATTTCTTTCACATGTTGAATATTTTTAAATGTTTAGTCTAAATGTTCGAAGTAAACATTTGATCTCACATTTCCGTTACTTAGAGCCCTGCACGGGCCTAAAATCTGAGCCCGTGTCCGGCCCAAGGGGGTGGAGCCCCAGCCCGACCCGGCCCGAAAAGGTTTTCAGGATTCTCTGGCCCGACCCGAGCCCGTCTTTTTTTTTAACCAACTAAATGAAAACAAAGTGCGTCAATACTGACCAATGTGTTAAAATACGTGCAGGATCCGATCAATTTGTTTTTCCCTCGTTTACCGTCATGGAGATAACAGCGCACTGGCTCTGGTGGTAATCAAGTTAAATTTTATCTCTTTCCAACAATTTTCACAAGAAAACAAAACAGTTAAAAGCAGGGCTTGTGTTGACCGGATAGTTCCCGTATTTGACCGTTTATTTTGACGGAGAAAGAATAGAAAGAATTACCCCGGCGCAAGCAGACAAACTGACATTTTCTTCGTTTCGCACATCGCAGATGTAGCTAAATCACTCAAGAAAAGATTCCCATCTGAACATCTGAGCTGGACACTACTCAGCGCAGCTCGCTGTCAGCGCATATGTGCACAGCGAGCTGAAGTTGTGGAGATTGGCTTGGAGCGCGTCGCTGAACCAGAGCGCATGCGGGAAGGTTCCTCCCACTGAAGCGAGTGCTTTCCAAACCCGGTCTCTCAGAGAGACTTGTCACTTAGAAAATGTTCCCTGATTATGAAACTTTGGCTGGATTGTGCTTGTTCCTGTCTCCAATGTGGCGACACATCCAGGAGCCGTCTGAGGAGAATCCCAGAATCTCATATCCTCTTCAGCTCAGAAAGCTCCTATGATTACGCACAAGCATGACCCGTCAACCCGGTCTCACAGTAAGACCGGGTTGGACCTGTTCAGGTTTACGCAGACAATCTTTACATTTAGAATTGGCATACAGGTGTAAAATTAATGCAGTAAAATATAACGCTTTTTATTTAAATATCCATTCATTATTTTACAAGCACAGAGAGCCGCATCAGATTCAGATCAGCAGGAAGATTCCTCTGACTGAATTCAGTCGGAGGAATCTTCCTGCATGCGCTCTGGTTCTGCCAGTGTTGGGAGTAATGTGGTACAAAAGTAATTAATTACTGTAATGCATTGCTTTTTGCTGTAATGTGGTAATGTAAGGCATTACAGGGAAAAAAATGGTAATATTTACTTGGTACAATTGTCAGTAACGCGGTAATTACAATGCATTTTTAAACCCAGAATCAAGATGTGTTCCTTAAAAATTCAAATTGCGGGAAACCCGAAGAAAGATCCAGTATCTGCATATATTACTTAATTTATGGACTCAGCTTTGCAGGCAGAGAGGACGCAGCGGTAACGGCTCAAATACTCCAGCTGTGTCCTGCACGCGGCCGCTGCAACATTCACAAAATCACTCCACTAAAACAAAATAATTCACTTGCGATCGTTCATATCAGTGCATGTTCTCTGGTATTTTGTGCTTTTCTGACGTACTTTGCCTCATCTGAGTTAATCTGGGCCCCGGTGATTTCAACTCATTACTGCTGGAGCGCCGCGCATGTGAAGATCCCTTTGGCTGATTAGTTAGAAAGTAGGAACTCTAGGAAACTGTTTTTTCTGGAAGACGGAGAAAACATGCAGCATGCAGGAAGGTTAGAGAGAGAGAGGGCAGGAAATTATTCAAATAAAATCAAGAAAACAAAACAAAGTGCTTGAAAAGAAAAAAGTAGGTAGATTTATCCCCAATACACATGTTTACCAGTAAAAAGCAATAATATATGAGCATTTATACATGTGATAGAATCAGATCACCCCAGAAGTCAGTCCCACATCCAGGGCCGTATCAAGGCATTTGGGGACCAAGGCAAATGTAGGCTTGGAGCCCCCACCACCTCACTCCCTGCTCAGTTAATATAAGATGGCAGCGTGCTGAGAGTACAGATTGTTGTTGCTTTTATTTAATAAACAATCATTTTAAAACACTGTTATTATATCTGACTGTTTTTACAGCAATCCTAGCTCAGACACCACATCACCTTCCACATATATGTCTTGAGCTCACTGAGCGTCACATTACCAGATTCATACTGAAGTTGTTTTGGTGAAAGTAACTTAAAGTAATGCAAAAGTAGTGTAATGCCTTACATTTTAAAATCAGTAATATTGTAATGTAATGAATTACTTTAAAATGAGGGCAACAAGTAATAAATAATGCATTACAGTTTTGAAGTAACTTGCCCAACACTGGGTTCTGCAACGCGTTCCAAGCCCCTCTCCAGATCTTCAGCTCGCTGTGTACCTTATGTAGTACACGCTGACAGTGAGCTGCGCTGAGCAGTGTACAGCTCAGGTGTTCAGATGGGAATCTTTTCTTGAGTGATTTAGCTACATCTGCGATGTGCAAAGAATAAAGTGTCAGTTCGTCTGCATGCGTCGGGGTAATTCTTTCTATTCTTTCTCCGTCAAAATAAACGGTCAAATACGGGAACTGTCCGGTCAACACAAGCCCTGCTTTTAACTGTTCTGTTTTCTTGTGAAAATTGTTGCAAAGAGATAAAATTAAACTTGATTAACACCAGAGCCAGGCGTACTGCGCCGTTATCTCCGTCACTGTAAATGAGGGAAAAACAAAATGATCGGATTCTTTTCTGACCTTCCCCACCTACAAAGTTTAATTACAATTATCAAACGTGACAGAGCCTGGATTTGTATTCTGAACAGTCTAAACATGTTTTAAAAAGAAACATCTGACAAAAGTGGCACCTGCTTAGTAAAACCACCAGCAGGGTGAAAAATATCAAAATATTGTAGGCAGAGACGGGCTACAACTTCTGGATCCACTTTATATAAATCATTTTATTGATTATCGTCTTGTGAACGATAACTTTGACATACACGAGCGACCGGTACTGGCTGCTGTCACCTGTTGTGAGCAGCGCTCTGCTGTCTGAGGGTAGGCCCCGCCCACAACGCCGTGGCTGCTGTGGCTCCCAGTGTTTTCTTTACTGTTGGAAACGGGTAATAATGGCTCTTTGACGGGAACAGGTTGCCGACCCCTGGTTTAAGTGTTTCAATTTTTTTTTTATTATGAATTCGATTAAAAATAAAGGCACCCGGCCCGGCTCGTGTCTGAGGTAATTACACAGTCGTTGGCCCGAAGCCCGGCCCGAGGGCCTAGGGCTTCAGTGCAAGGCTCTATCCTTCATTTTTCACTGAAGTGTTTATGGACATAGTTGTTTTTACCACAAGCCCTTGTAAAACGGTCATTTTAGAACTAATTCTCTGTTAACCTCAATGGAGCACAGTGATCTACAGTTTAGGTGGAGTTTTTTCCTTTTTGGTTCCTTAGTGTCGGCAAAAGAGAGCTCGCCCACGTCTGGCAAAACCAGCTTTTCTTATTACCATTGCAAGTTTCATTAATGTGTTTTTATGCGGGGTCCAGATTTGCATGTCGGTTTAGCCCCATAACAAACGCTCCCTATTGTAGTTGTATCTTTATAAGGGAACTGAAGCATGGGCGTGGCTGCTGTGGAGGAACCATTCTTTCATTATTTTTCAGGGGGTTGGTTTCAGTTGTCCAAATGTCCTGAAATGCATAAATCCCATAGGATTACTGAATTTGAACAGTGAAGATGTTTTTGATTGAATCCACAGGACCAATGTTGTGATGAACTATTCAGAGGTGGAGTCTAAAGTTAGAGAAGCCACCAACGATGATCCCTGGGGACCTTCGGGACAGCTGATGACTGAAATTGCAAGGTAAGAAAACAAAGTGTGTCCTGCCGAAAATTTTCCAAGGGTTTGTAAATGACTGCAAACAGCTGTAACACTCCTCAGAAATGATTTTCTTGCTGCGTTTTCACATTTGTTTTCGTCTTTGTTCACAATATAAGGGGCAGCAGTAGCTCAACAGGATGAGTGGGTTGTCCAGTAATCGGAAGGTTGCAGGTTCAATCCCGGCTCCGGACAGAGAATTCTGCTGTTGTGTCCTTGGGCAAGACACTTAACCCACCTTGCCTGCTGGTGGTGGTCGGCGGGACCAGTGGCGCCTGTCAGGGCAGGGCAGCTGTGGCTACATCGTAGCTCATCCCCACCAGTGTATGAATGAGTGTGTGAATGGATGAATGATACACTGTAGTGTAAAGCACTTTGGAGTCCTTACTCTGAGAGGCGCTATACAAGTGCGGGTCATTTATCATTTATCATCCTCTTTTGAACATGTTGGTCTCCTGAAAACAGTCTAATTACTGGAGTCATTTTACCTCAGCAGCAGTTTTATTATTTTTAAGCCAGTCATTTAAAAATCTCTTAACACTGTAAGTTTAGTTTGACCCAACAAAGACATGAAGTAATTTAGCTGATGATGTGTTTGCTGTGAGTTGTACAGAAATGTTTTGTATTGAGTCAGAAAGCTTCATATTCATTCTCTGCATAGTAAGCCTAAGACACGCCCATCTACTTCCAGTCCATGGGTCCCCAAAAAAAGGGGAGCCAATACGTTATTTTCTGATCCCGTTTGATATGTGCCATGGATTTCACATCTGATGTCCGTGAATTTTAAAGACACAGTTTGATACCAATAAAGCGCTTATTTACAGCAAGCGGCGAAAGTTACTTTATGTTTTGTGTGAAAACTCGTAGAGGACTCCAAATGCTCGTCTCGCCAAACTTGCGTCATCAAACCAGTCAAGAATAAGAAAGATGGCAGACATAGTGGAAACACAGTTATTCATTTAAACTGAAGCACAGCATATGTGTGATTCAGGTCGTAAGGCAGGCCTATTCAAGTTCGGGCCTTGGGGGCCGGTATCCAGCACGTTTTAGTGGTTTCTCTGCTCCAACACACTTAATTCAGTGATTGAGTCACCTGTGCAGCAGCTCATCAGGCTCTGCAGAACCCTGTTAGTCACCTGCTTGTTGAAATCAAATGTGTTGAAGCAGGGTTACAACTAAAACGTGCTGGAAGGCCTGGAATTGAATAAGCCCTGTCGTAAGGCAAAGCGGACTGGAAATGAACTTATTTTTTACTTTGGTCAGGTGACCCGTGGCGACCCGAAGGGCAAAAGACTTAAGCTCCTTGTTCGGCACTACACCCATAGAGCCTAGTTTATTAAAATACTTAATTAGTTTAAAAGTAGATTGATGGTTTTACTCTACTTTCACCTGTTTGGTATAACTACTGACAGTTTTCCTTTAAATTTCCATATTAATTATAAAAGTTGACACTTTTACAGGCTCATGGTTGTGCAGACCATGCTCTCTGGTACTGCTGTGTGTTGTTGGCTGTCTGGCTGAATTTGTATGAGCTGGAAACCTGTGTGTGGGTGTGGGTGTTGGTGTTGTTATGAAGCCTAAATAGGCTGAAGAGTGTCAGAAACATGCGTTGGGTTTATTTTTCTGATCTGTTCATCGTGAACGGCCTTGACCAGGCGTGGGTGGGCCCTGTTGTTCAGTTCCTTTGTAAGTGAGACGGCTTTCCTGCTCCATGTTTTTCATTTCCGGTGAATGTGTGTATAAACAGGTGCACCTTCATGTATGAGCAGTTCCCAGAGGTGATGAACATGCTGTGGGCCCGCATGCTGAGGGACAACAAGAAGAACTGGAGGAGAGTCTACAAGGTCTGTTAAACGTTTGCTCATTGGTGACATGGGGCTTAAACACTGTTGTAACGAAGGCTAAAACGGTCCAGGAGCGTTGAGTCTAGTTGGAGGAAGAAGAACCAATCTACTGGTATTTTGTTTTAACTGCTGCTGGGCTTCTCTTTTACAGTCGTTGTTGTTGTTGGCCCATCTAATCAGAAATGGATCAGAGAGAGTTGTAACCAGCGCCAGAGAACATCTGTATGACCTGAGATCTTTGGAAAGTTACCACTTTGTAGGTATGTGTCTGTTTGATGGTTGTTTTTACTACCCAAAAAGATGAAATATTTCATTAAACTTAGAACTGAGCTTGCATGATAGGGCTTTAAAGGGGCATTATGGAAGTTTGACAGCCAAAACATGTATAGAAATAATAAATGTCTTCTTCATGCATTCTCCTGCAATGCCCTGGTCCTGTAGAATGAGGCCTGGCATTTTTACGGTGATTGCCTGTTTTTCTGTAAAATCACAGAAAAAGAGAGATGCTCGGATCGAGCAGGCTGCTTCATGCGCGTTCACGCTCAGTCATAGCCCGTAGCATTTGCTATCCGTAGCTTTAGCAGCAGAGAGAGAGGCAGTGCCACTTTGTCGCTGTTCCTAACGCCTAGTGACGAAGCTAGCTACATTTCTGAGGACCCTTAGCTACTTTCTGTAGAACTTTCATCTAGATTTTTCCTGCAAATTAGCAACAAAATAGCCATTTACGCTCCGAAACGTTTATATATAAATGTGACAGATGAAAAGTATATAACAGGCGCTTTAGCTCACCTAGTAAGATGTCGGACTCTTGTGCAGAAGACCTGGGTTTGATTCTGGATGTGTACATGGGTTATTTAGAGTTTCTTTTTTACATTAATGGTATAGTTTTTTACAGTAAGATGCCCAAATTTTTATTTGAGACTCGCTGAACGGCATTGAATTCACAGATAAAAAAGATGTGGGTTCAACTTTCATTTTGGAACAATTTTTCAAGCAAGGGAAGGGAATGATCTGAGCATGCAGGAGGACTGACCCATCATAAACCTTTGTCGGCTGTGCTGAAGAGAAAGGTACAGAACCACATTATTTCATTAATTAGCTGCGTGTTCTCCTGTCCTCCGGGCCCCACACACACACGCACGCACGCGCACACACACTGTCATCAAGGATATGTGTGTGTGTGTGTACACACACACACACAAGGGACTGTCTCAGCTGTTATTTTCATTAAGGAGTGTGCACATACAGCATGCGCGCCTACCATTGAAGCTGCCGTTACACTTTTGGCCTGAGGGGGCAATCACGAGCATAAAAATTCAAAACTCCATAAAGTCCCTTTAATGTTCACTAGTTTTATTCTGGGCTGTAATAAATAAAGTGCTGAGATGTGCCTAACACACATTCTCTGGCCTAAGTCTGCTTTCATTCTGTTCAAGTTTCTGACACAAACACTCGGTCCAAGATGTTGATTCATGTTGTTTAACTCCGCTCATTGTGAATTTATTTCATTAGTCATGGTTTTCTTATGCTGTCAATCTCTGTTGCTAGATGAGAATGGGAAGGATCAAGGTATAAATGTGCGTCAGAAGGTGAAGGAGCTTGTGGACTTTGTTCAGGATGACGACAGGCTCAGAGAAGAAAGGAAAAAGGCTAAAAAGAACAAAGATAAATACGTTGGTGTTTCCTCCAACACCATGGGATACCGGGGCTACTGTAAGTAATATTTAACAAGCGTGTCTGTGTTCAAAATAGTTTTACATTCCTGCACAGTAATTACTCCACTGCTTGTGAATGTGTTGTCAATGTTCTTAAAAAGGGCAAAACTGAAACTGTTGCCCGAATCACCAGTCTGACTTTCATTCATTCCCCCTCATCAGCTGGGGACCGGTACGACTCAAGCGAAAGTCGAGGAAAGTGGGATGATGACTGGGACAAGAGTAAAGGTCCTTTCCCTTTCAGCGAGAAGTTGGGCGAGATCAGCGACAAAATTGGCAGCACCATCGATGACACCATAAACAGGTTCAGGAAGAAGGACAGAGATGATTCACCCGACCGATTCAGGTAGGATGTTATTTGGTGACTGTAGTGGTACGTCCCTGTTTTAAATGAAACAAGCTTAAGGATACGAGTCTGAATTCTGCCTGAATAACTGACAAGTATTAGGACGGCCTCTGTCAGTGTGCCCCAGGGCAGCTGTGGCTACAGTGTAGCTCATCACCATCAGTGTGTGTGTGTGAGAGAGAGAGAGAGTGTATGAATGATACACTGTAGTGTAAAGCGCTTTATAGATCTAGGACTCTAAAGGCACTATACAAGTGTGGGTCATTTATCATGTTTAGGATTAACTGATTTATTTATTTATATATATTTGATCATTTTCGCTCTCCAGCGGTCACTGAGAAGCATAAAACATATCAGCCTTGAAGATGACTTTTCACCCGAGCATCTAAGACAGCGGTTCTCGATAGGCAGCCATGACCCCCCACCCCGGTCCGGACCTCTGGCTTCTGGGTCTTCTTGTTGAGTGGCCCTTGGACCATTACAATTGAGGACCCCTGGTCTAAGACATCTGGCCACAGATCAGATGAAACGACAGCAAGTCGATCATCAAGATGTGGCCTCAGAACACATATGGACACCCGTATGCTTAGACATAATGTTCATGGACACCATCGGATTCAGATTGTGGGACCATTCCTTCCAACCACACCTATCCAGGTATCCGTTATATCCCACGTGAGCGTTAATGTCCTCCAGCTGAAGGGAGGGAGTCACCAGGAGTGATCTCCAGCAAGCCCCTCAAGGACTCGAAAGGCATGTGTTGTCTAACCTGTTGTATGGTGCACAAGCGATATCAGGACCTGTTCCACTACACGTAGGCAAAGGGAGACATTCCAAGTGCAGACAGCCAGCTTCTGTAGGCCACTAAGGTCGCTTAAGAGCCGGCTAAACAGCCAATCTCACATTAGCTATGTTTTCCGTGTCGGAACTTCAGTCTAAATTCTGGGACAAAGAAATTGACTGGGAGATGCAATGTCCCGGTCCTTTCAGCTCCATTCAACTTCGGCATTTTCAGGACTTTGCACAAACGTCGGCGTATCGCGACTGCTTCGGCAGTGCGTGACGTCGGCATCAAAAAGCATCCACAATAACATTAACAGTCTTTCTGTCAACGTGTGTCATAATTTAATCCATTCAGAGGACGAGAGTAGTTGTGTCATGTAAAATGTGGCGTTTAATGACCATAAGAAGCTCAGTGTTTTACGGCGCTCTGAGACAACAAAGCCGCTTGAATTATGTCATTGTGAGGGAATTCTTCCATGCTTTCCAGTGTTTGGAGTTTATTGTATTTTCTGGACTATGTCGCTCCGGAGTAGTGGCAGCAGCCATTAACTGTATAATGAAGAAGAAAAAAACATATATAAGTCGCATTTTGGGGAAAATTTTTATTTTTCTTACAAAACCTGAGACCAAGCGTTTCACATTGCAAGACGAGTACCGGTAACAATAACAGAAAAAACAACGCGGGCGCAGCAGCGCGCCATGGTCTCCAGCAGAGGATGGTGGTGTTAGAAACCCTCCCAGCGGGCGGGGAGAGCTCGTTCCTGGTCCGGAGCCGGCCCGCAGCAGCAGCGCGGTACAGCCTACATAATTTGGTATACAAGTCGCTCCGGAGTATAAGTTGCAGGACCGGCCAGACTATGAAAACAAGTGTGACATATAGTCCAGAAAATACGGTAGTAACGGCTTATTTTCTTTTGCTGCCATTCTGCTTCGCATGTAACTCTTCCTATCTTACCAATGCCCGTTCTTCTAAACGGCGTCTGCTGATGTGATTTCCTGCTGAGTTACAACCAATCGGCATGAGTTAACTAGAAGTTTCGCCCAGCTACTCCACTAGGTCATTATGAGTACCTACCCCTGATTGGCTGGCTCGGCCAAGTGGAGACACGCATGTCGGGAAGTTCCTGCAAATTTACCCTGAAGTTCCTGTGGTGGAAACACACCCACTGCTTTCGACCCCTTTGGCTCCTCCGAGTGGTGAGCCCATGGGAAGGGGGATTAGCGGGTTTGGGCTGTGCCCGGCCAGGCTCTAGGGTGCAGGTCTGGCCGAAAGGAACCTCGTCAACGTGCCCCGATGACCCGCATCCGGTTGAAGGAACACCGTTTCCATTGGCATTAATTACCATAAGAGGGTTTTCGGCTGCTCATCGTCTGATCCCTCAACCGCAGGCCATGAACATTTAAAAGAGTAAAAGTCCAACTCTGGATACAATAACTGATTCATTATTCGCTCAGAGACTTGGCTCAGGTCAGCTTAGCTAGTTTTGATCACATTTAAATGGATGTCTAACTTCAGCATCCGAGTTTAAAAGTGTTGAGAACACTTGGTCATCACTTTTCTGTCAACAATTCAGCCTCCGTGAGTGACACCAAACCCCTGAAAATCACCAGACTCAGAAAACAGAACCAAAATGGGGAAGACCTGTTGTGTAATCGACCGCATACACAGACTCAGCAAAAATTTGGGGCCACCTCATTTTCAGCTGCTGGAACAGCTTCAGAACTAAGCCCCTGCTTAACCTGGTAAATGTCATTTACTCTACAGCGACAACGAGGAGGACCGCGATCGTTCGTCTTACAATGGAAAAGCCAAGAAAGAGTTCAAAGATGATGAGGAGACTGTTACAACCAAGAGTGTGCAGATTGTCCAAGCAACGGAGACAACAGCCACGCGGAAGAAAGGAGCACCGTCCAAAAAAGTGGACCTGGGGGCTGCAGCTCACTACACAGGAGACCAGAGCCCAGACACCCTCGTCAAACCGGTAGAAGAGCTTAGCTGGTATTGATCGGTGTTCCTGTGTTTGTTCTGATATGTGATTCACCGTTTGTTTGTAAACCTAGAGCCAGCCAGCAGCAGCAGCCCCTCTGCCTGTGAGTACGGGCCTAGCTGACCTGCTAATGGTGGACACCACCCCTACCCAACCTGCTGCCTCAGGTATAATCCAGTAAGACTTTTCTTGTCAGCCATCTCACCACTGGGGTTGGGACCATTAGAGGTTTTGGTGGTAAAATACAATTAGTCTGGGAAATCATCCTGGATTCACGATTACCGCAGTTATTTTACGTGAATTGATGTCACAACTGCTTTAACGTGAATAGATCACACACACACACACACACACACACACACACACACACACACACACACACACACACACACACACACACACACACACTTTCTATGAAGGCTTTGAACCCCAGAAGATATCGATTGCTGTTTTTCTCAGATGCTGCTTAGAAATATTTATTAGAAAAATGATTTATGAAATAAAAGTATGTTATTAAGCTTTACAAACACCCTTAGGTCTGCCTATCCTGGTGTAAAAGGAGAAGTTTTAACGGCGGTGAATAGCCAAACCGGTTCATCGTTGCAACTCTACTCACCACTAATTGCATGAGGACTTTTTGTGAGATCAGTTGCCAAACTGGGACTTTTGGGATGAAACTTTTAGTCGCTGCTGATTTTGTTTAAAACCAACAAAACAAATAAATCTAGTAGTGATCTGGATCGACTGAGTTGGGTCTGATGATAGCCGGCTGCTGATGTTAGGGGACAGCAGGGGGAGGGAGTAGACAGATATAAACTAACTACAGCAGATGTTTTTTGGAAGAGTCCCTTGAGTGGTGAGAGTGGGAGCACTGAACAGATGTTTGGCCTATCCGCATGTTCACTGCTGCAACCCCTCCCGTCTGTCCTGCACTTCCAACATTTCAGGAATGCTAACAATTCCAAAGCGACACCTGGAACTTACCTGTTTGAAAACCTGACTGTTTTGTTTCTGAACGCAGGCCTCATCGGTGGGTTCGCTGACTTCGCCTCGTCAGCTGGACTCTCCTCGGGATCCGGTATGTTCCAGATCATTTTTTTGTTAGCGTGTATGCTGTCTTGTAGCTGTACTGCTAGAATATTCAGAAGGATCCAGGGTGGGGGGGCCCTGACCATATGGAGCCTGCTACCTGCTCTGCATAATAAGAACAGACACACATCAGCTCCTGTTATGGATGACAAGGAGACAAGGACAGAAGATGGTGGTGGGGGTGGAGGAGCTCTGAGACAACACGCTGGGTCAGTTCGGTGACATTTAAGATGCAGCGCCAGTGGTCACTGAGGATTTCCCAGATGAAGCTAAACTTGGCTCAGAAAGTTGGACCTTTAGTTGGTCTTTGTATAATACATTTGTATCTAGGTGATGATACTGACATCCATTTCCTTTATCGTGTGGCAGCAGCTGCAGCTTCCAGCCCCAACGGAGACTTTGGTGAATGGAATGCCTTTCCTGGAGGTCAGATGCCGTCGTCTGCTCCGAGTCCTGCCACCAGTGGAAATGAGTTTTTCGGAGCCATGACAGCAGCTTCTCCTACTGCCTTAGCCCCGGTTCCAGCTCCAGCCTCGGGTCCCGCCTCAGCAGACCTGTTTGACCTGATGGGGCCAACTCCGTCCATCACCTCCTCTCAGAGCCTCAACTTCAGCATGAGCAGCACACAGAGTGTGAGCACCACGGTCATTCCCCAGTCCATGTCACAGGTATGCCTGACTGCATGCCAGCGTCAGTTTTTAATAATTAATTTGGATGATATAATGTATAACTTCTGTAGATCATTCGTCCAAACTGTCTCAGGGAAGACAGCAGGCATGTTGCCTTAGAGGTTTACACACTGGAAGTAAAAATATTAGATGCGTTGAACCTTCCCGCATTGTTAAGGGGGTCAGAGGGACCTCTGATGTGAGGGGTGCATCACTTCACCCCTACCAGGGGATAAACTTAAAACTCTGTTTACCCACCCCTGTCCTGGCGGGGTCACCTGGTAGGAGAGTGGAAGGGTTAAACAACTGCTTTAGGGAGTAGAGTGGTTCGTCCCTAACCCCAAAACTCCACTATCTCCCCTCCGCTCCGGCACGAACTCCGCAGCAAAGTCGGTCCCGTTGTAGTCAATCAGAGCTGTTCCACTACTGCGCCGCCCGCCATTCCACCATCCAGAAAAAATAGGATCGATTCTATTTTTGCCGGACGCCGGAACACCTCCGCAGTAAATGGACAGAAATCACAAACGCCCAACAGGAAAGGGAGCAAGCACAGCTTCCGTTATTTCACAATAAATCGATAAACAAAAGGCGTTTTTTGTTTCATATGCACAGGTTTAACAACTTTTAACAACTATCAATGGCGGCTGAAGTTTAAATGCACAAAAGTAAGCCATAAATACAGTTTCCACTATCAAAGTAGTCACACTTTGTTGATCCAAACACTGCTGATCTCTCAACACACATGATGGGCAGATTAAACAGTTCATGCCGATGCTTCTCCCACACAACGGGTGTTTGGATCTAACTTCCGCGTTTATTGCTCGGACTGTATCGCAAGGTCTCGAAAATCCTGCGCATGCCTGTTTGCGCACCTCAGGTCTCCGCACCGGAGCGGAGCCGTTGTAGAGCGGGTACCAGTAAAAATTGAGTTCGGAAGCGAGCAGCAGCGGAAAGCCGGGGGCAGAGCGGAGATAGTGGAATTTTGGGGTAAGACTCGACACGCTCCGTGTTCACAGCTTGTACTTGTGTTTGAAACCCTTTAAAGACCAAGTTCACTGACAAACTGTTACTTGTTCTTGTTGAACTACGATCGATCACTCAGAGCTTTTCATGCAGGCTGAATGTGAAATCCATCTTCTAGCCCCGGGGCGACGGTGGCTACAGTGTAGCTCATCACTACCAGTGTGTGAGTGATTCACAGTAAGGTGCTAGACACGTGCAGGCCATTTATCATTTAAGACTGAGCCTCCAGCTCCGTGGATCTGGTTAGATCCAGTTTATTAGTCAACAAACCAGAAGTGAGCCACCTGTTTAGAAGAACAGGGTGCTACCAAAGTCCACCTGTCATTAAAACGTAAAACACCAAAGTCACGCTAAAAATAGCTGATCTCCAAAGGCCCCATGTTGGTATTGGTCACAAATACACAGGAAACGATTAGTGTGCCTGAACTCAAAGCTGCTTCAGGAGATGCTGGGAAACAGCATCCGGGCTGCCTCACCTTTCAGACCTCTTCATGGAAAGGCTCCACGTAGTTTTGGATCCTAAACTCCCCAGTCACATAGCAGCCGATCATCGACGCAACGGTAAAAACAAACGAGTCTGTCCACGTTGAAACGGCCGGTTTACACTAGAAGCTTTAGAGGAGCTGGATTGTGTTGCTGACCGGTGTTTAAACATGGAAACCATTTCTGATTCTGAACGGCTTCATTATCATGTCAAATAGAAAATGACTCTGAATGACATCATGTGTCAGCAGATGTGTGTGATTGAAAGATGGAGGTTCACATTCAGCTCCTGTGGAGAACACCCACTGCCACTGAGGCATGATGGGATTGAGACGTGAGGTTAAAGAAACGCTACACGCTTGCACGTGTCGACTGTATTTCCGTGCTAAAAGGTTCTTGGCCTCCTTAGAAAAAGGTGTTGTGTTTTGCTGAAATGACACCAGCCCTGCCTGTTTCATCCACTTCCTTCAGCAGGTTCCTCTGACGGGTGAAGTAGGTCACGCTGAGGGTTTGATGCCTTTAATTCCAGAACATCTACAACGTTCTGTTCTGTGTTCTCAGTGTTTGACGTTGTGTCGCGATGCTGTGTACTTTATTGAGCGATGACATGAATTGTCTAATTTGACATGCATCCGACTTTTCTCAGCCCATTCCAAACATCGGGGTTCCTATGCAGCCACAGTCGGTTCAGCAGGCAGCGGCCTCCCAAAGCTCCGGAGCCAAAGCATCTCTCCCGTCCACCTGGTCGGATCACACCGTGAACATCAGCCTGGACTTTCTGGTCCCAGGCGTGCAGCCTCCCAAGCCCAGCCAGCCGAGCCTCAACACCCTCCAGCAAGGTGGGCCTGCAGGGTTTCTGGTGGTCGGGTATCTTTCACTTTAACCTGTTAACTCATTTGTTTGGATTTCCAGGCCATCCGGTGCCTGCCAACATGCTCTCCCAGGGATTTTCCAGTATGAATCTTGGACCTACCAACATCAGACCACCTGCGAATGCGATGATGCATCCTGCTGCTGGAATGGGCATGGCTCCTAACCAGGCCATGATGGGGATGGGCATGAACATGGGGATGCCACAAGGGGGTATGACCATGGGAATGCCTGGTGCCATGGGGATGGGAATGGGGATGAACCCTGGAATGGTCCAGCAGCCCAAACATGACGCCTTTGCTGACTTTGGCAACTTTGGAAAATGATGAAACAGAAAATGTAATCAGAAGTGGTGGCAGCCTCTCGCCGTCCATAGTTGATGGATCATCATGAGCTCCAAACAAAGAGTACTTGAATAACATCCACGATGGTCTCACCAACACCCTGCAACCTCCCTGTTGTTTTAAATGATGTAGTCATGTGGATTTAAATGAATGTGTGTTGACTGAACCAATGATGCGTGTGCTGTGGAAGGGTGGCTGGACGTACTCTGGTGTTTGCCGGGCTGGGGCGGGGAGAAGAAAGTGCCACCGAGGGAAACTAAACGGGGATTTGCTTTATAACCTCAATCAAGGTAACTTCTACAGGTAGCTGGATAATTGCTGTTGAGAATACATACATCTGTATAACACCATCATCCATTTTAACTAGCTAGTGCACGCTGAAGATTCATTTACGTCTCTATGTCCCCCCCCCATCTTTCTCTGACATGTAAATAGACATTCTGAGCCCTTGTAATACGTTGTGAGGTTCCTGTGAGAGGCAGCAGAAGTGTTTTACTACACAGACCAAACTGATGAGTCCAGATCTAAGAGCATGCTGTTCCATCTCATTCTCTTTGTGCACGAGTGTGAACTGTCCAGGTGCAGCGCTGACGCGGCACACGGAGCGGTTATCTGCTGTCAAACTGGTTGATTCATGCAAGGAATTCCTCCTTCAGCTAAACGAATCGGTGGCCTTTCTTTTTTAGGATATATCTATATTTTATGGAGATGATTATAGTCGGCGTGCATCCTAGTGAGATCAGTTAAAGCTCATACAGGGATCACGTTACAGCAGAGTGCCTAAAATCTCTCACTGACCTGAAGGCAGCTCAGGTCCGTCGTAGCCGTGTGTGCTGCCTGCAGACATCACATGCATGTGACTGTGCTGTTTATCCCAAGCACCTGTTTTCTTCCCGAGCGGTTCAAGCCCGTGGCGACACCTCAGGTTTGATCTGTGACTGTTATAAAGTTCACACGTGTTCAATGTTGCAGCTTCTCTGTGCCTTCCATCCTCACTGATGCTGCACACTTGTATGGTTGTCACAGCAACCATCAGTGCAGAACACCGTTACCATCTGGGTGGTGCTGGCTGGATGAAGATGTACTGATGGTTGTTGGCCCGTGATGACTGGAGCCCTCCTCAGCTGCGCTCCAGAGGCTTGTGGTTCAAGTGCCTGCTGACGACTGCTTCCCACCCCTTCTAATGAGTGATTGATAATCAGAACTGAATCGTAGCGGCCTGACATTTTTTTTGTACGTTTGAGATGAATAACTGACGAGAGGAGGACTGGACTTCCCTCAGGGCTGCAGGCTGAGCACAGCAACACATAGCAGCCTTGCATTGATGTCTGAAGCATTGAAATGACCAAAATCTCTCTGCTGTTTCTTCTTCTTCTAATGTATATCAGTAGAAATGTTTTTTTACTTTAAATCATTCTGCTCCTTTTTTAAAACCAACGGGATTGTTACTGAACACTAGCGTAAGGAACCCCTTTAGAACCTTCTTTACGTTCTTCCCGCTCTGATTTGATTTCCACAACCAGACTCCTCGTGGACAGCATTAAACAGTTGATTTAAACGTGTTAATGATGTGTGTTATTTGGTGTGCTGTGTCATTAGCCTCATTCAGAACTGCTTCCAGCAGCAAAACCGATGCGCTTGGCTCTGAAATTGCATTTTACTTAATGTGACTTTAACTTTGTTGCTTGGTGGGAATAAAGCCAAGTGCATCGGGAGACTTCTTCCCAAGCAGGCTACAGCACAGGTAGCCTAAACGACCAATGAGAGCAACGCAAAGTGTGTTTAAATAGCACCGCTTGAGCCTGACGGCCACACGATATCCACACTCCTGTAATTCATCAACAATTAAAATCCACCGTTAGAAGGTTGTCCTCGTTTATTTTTCTGGTGCAACATGGAGGACACAAGACGATGTGATTCTGGGTCATCTCTACCATCAGCGCCGTGGCCCTTTATTAGACGGAGATTTGTTTGAGCGCACTTGTGTGACAAACACGACTAAAACGCAGCTTGCATTACACACTTGACCCCGTTTCCTCTCTCTGGAGAGGACAGTTAAATTGGCTACACTAATAATATTCTAATATACGAGCGGTGTGTACAGTAAATGAGCTAAAGTTCAACTCGTGATAAAACGCGCTCCACTTGTGACTTAAACTATATGGAAAAGAGGGTCAGTGATATCTCCGGTCCAGAACCAGAACCGGAGCAGAGCAGCAGACGAGTGACAATCACTCCGTGCCACTTATAAGCACCCTCCTTCAGGAGAGAAACATTTTACAACTTCCATGAGATGCAGTAAATTGTGCTTTTATGGGTAATGTGCCCATTAAAGAGTAAAAAGCAATCTGAGACGTAAAGACAAATGACAGCGTTTGAGTGCCATCTGCAATCTGCAGCTTCACTAACTCCATTATTCATAATGCATTTATGAAGCCCGCCGAGACCGCGCTGTCGTCCCTGCTCAGACTAACGGGAAGAGCAACTTAAAGGGACAAGGAGCTCTTCCAGATGACAGTAGCTGCACAGCTGGACGGGCGTGTTTATGCTGCCACCTGCTGGCCAACAAGCAGAACACACTGGGAAGGATCTACAAACAGACCAGACTAGAAGTTTTATTCCTCAATAAATGAGATCATTCCTTTGGTGCACCATATCAATATGATATAACAGGCCCATCTCAATCTGGACATTGGTGAAGAGTCAAGCGTTTGTGTTTAATCCAGCAGGATTTTCAGTCAGAGGGGCTGTGGATTGACCAGGATGACATTCTCACCGCGGATAAACAGCTGGCTGATGTGGCGTGTGCGCACCGTCCCGTACTTCTGATGGCTCTTCTGTGAGACATCATCTTTATCCTGTTTGCTCTTCGCCGTGCGGGACTGCTCGGACTCAGGCGTTCCGTCCCCTCTCGCACCAGCAGGCTGAGCAGGGCGGCTCTTCGGAGCAGCTTGGGGATTTGCAGGTTGAGGCTTGTTGGTTTCCTCTCTTGTTTCTTGCTTCTTGGCGGCCTCGTTGGCTCCCGAGTCCCGCTGCAGGCTCAGCTTCTCAAAGAGCTGCACAAAGATTATGTTAACGATGAAGAGTAGGACCTAAAAGACCAAAAGTACTACAGTGCTTTCATAAGATCACATCCTGAAGCCACTCGGACTCAGAAGGAAACGGTTTCTTAGCTCCAAAGCATTTGTTGGTGTGTTTCATGTAGGGATGCACCGATACGATGCCAATACCTGTATCGGTAAAAGTTAACCGATACCAGGAACCGATACCAATGCAGTTGCTTGAAAATGGCTTCACTGTAACTTGTCATTTCTGTTCACCTAATGTTTTAGTTTTGTGATGATTTCCATTCATATATTTTACTTTTTATCTACCTCACAGTCTTTTCCTGTGCAGAGAAGAAAATAAAATCTGTATTCCAAATCATTGCATTTTTTTGTAAGGCAGAAGTATCGGTATTGGTAATCGGTATCGGCGAGTACTCAGATCCAAGTATCGGTATCGTATCGATTTGGAAAAAAAGTGGTATTGTTGCATCCCTAGTTTCATGCACATTCAGTCATGTTTGTTTTGAAGCCAAGGCCTTTATGTTGCACCTCTTAGCCAGGCTCATCGGTGTTTCAGCTCCTGCTTCAGCTTTAAAACCATGTTTCTGGTATTTCATGGATTCATTTAGAGCTGCAGCTGTTCGGGCTCTGAGGACCGACGCTGGTGAATTATCAGTTTTCTTACCGAGCGCCACAAACTAAACACTTTTTAATGATGTGACTATAACCCTTCTTCACAAAGGGACAGACTACTGCTGGAATGAACCAGTGCTTAGCGAGGGTCCCTTCCTGAACCATAAAACACACAATTGGATTTTTGAGTTGCAGAGCGGCCAATCACCAACTCACCCAGGTGTGCCCGTGTGGGTAGGCGCGTTGTGCCTGTAAACTACTGCTGCGTGGTTTCAGTCGCGTTTCTACTCATCATCTAACAGTGCAGCTATAAATCATACGGACACTAGAAGAGGCACAGATCTGACGGAGGACTTTTTAAACTTGGGTCAGACCCAAACGGTGCCGACACTGGGAGGTAACACCTGACAACCCAAGGCGTATTCCGACTCGGTGTTCCAGGGGGAAAGGATCAGGAAGACGGACTCCATGACTGGAGGACATCTGAGGCGATCCGAGCTCAGGACCTGATGTCTGAGCGGTGAACAGGTGAGCAGAACGTCCTTATAAGGGCTGCATAAATGTACCCAACATTTTTCTGGTGGACGATATGTCACGTGTCATTTCTTAACACGTCGGTCCGATAAATAGAACCGGGTCGACATAAACAACCAATATTTTTTCCATTTGGTTATCTGTTTCGGGGGGGGTTGTATTCGTTTGGTCATGTGACAGTGATGTAATCGTCTCAGAAGCATAAATATGCGGTGTGTGTACACAATAATGTAAATTAAGCTTCAGTCATCTTCATTCTATACAGAATTTGCTGATTTTAGAAGCATTAATGTCAGCTTACCGGTATCAGCAAATATCGCTTATGCACTGAAACGGTGATATTAATATCACCGGTATTGGCCCAAAGATTTCATATCAGTGCATCACTCATTTTTATCTCCAGATTTTTACCAAAATGCCTAATTTAGACTCGTTTCCAGGCGTGTACACCAGGGCTGAACGACTTAGGGAAATTATCTATTTCCGATTTAATTCATTATTCCTTCCTCAAGTTGTTTTTCTCTCATTTTTCAACTAAAGCAAGCAAAAAATAAATCAATGTATTATAAACCATATCAGATTTATTATGCATAAATTATTGTTATGCAGCTCGGTCACCTGAGAGTTTGTTTACTGGTAGCTGAAGCGCTGGCAGCTGGTGGTGTGATGTTTGTTTAGGTAAAGGTCTGTGGCGTCACCTCACCGGGTAGCAACAGTAGCAAGGCAGGTTCTGCACAACACGCAGCATCTTCTTCTTTTATGTAACCAAAACATTTCTACACAACCCATGTGCTAAGCCTCTGTGGTTCTGATCTTTGTGCAGCGCTGGATTCTGAAGAGCCTGAGGTCATTCAGGTTAAAGCGCAACGTTCCCTGTTCCCTTCTCCCCGTCCTGTTTGAGGCGCTCACAAGTCCCGTCTTTCCCAGATTAGAAAATCTCATTCTGTCACATTATAATTCAATATGCAAATACTGTAAAACTTCTGCAAGTAGATTTTCAGCTATAAATGAAACAACGAAAGAGAGAACTGGTACGTACTCGTGAAATTGTGAGTGCCTTCTCGTGGTACACGGCCTCTCCAAGCAGAGGTTCCCTGTACGTCTCGTCTACATCCACCATCGCCTGCCAACAACAAGCAGCATCCAGCGATGAATGACTAACATGGAAACAGCACAAAGACTGGAGTGGGACCGCTCACCATGTTCCAGAACTTGTCGAAGGCCACAACAAAGCCTGAGCACACTCCCCGAAGTCCTTTAAAGGTCCTGATGTGAACTTTGACCCTTATCCTTTCCTCCACGCAGCGGTACAGCTCTCCCAGAGGACTGCCCTTACACACTGAAGATACATGACAAGCAGGTTATGCAGCTGCACCTAGCCCAGCTCGTCAATCATGCAGCTGAAGCACACGCAGATTTCTGTAGGACAGGGTGAAGGCACGCTTACAAAACTAGAGAGTATAGATATAAATGATAGAAATACCGACATATTTCTGCTTTTATTGTGAAAATTGGCCCGTATATAACTACGAGTGTGACTGTGTTTTGACCTACATCGGGGTAATTTAAACAGGATAGCTCGTTAACTGGCTGGTATAGAGGTGGTGCTGCGTTATCTGACATGCCTTTAAATGAACCTACGGGGCATCCGTGTCAGGACATTCTTCTGGGGCTTCTGCCTCCTCTTCTTCCGGCTCTGGCCGCCACTGCCCCCCTCCTCCGGGTCCGACACCGGGTTGTTCACCATCAGCATCTTCAGCCTTTCGATCCGCTCCGGGTCCGCCACCCCTTTCATCGCCTTTCGCTGCCTCTTCTCCACGTTCTCCGGTTTGGCTCGGCCCCGGCCACCCTTCAGAAAACTCTCGTACTCTGCCACATTGTTGAAGCACTTGATGTTTGGGAAGGGAAGAGGTGCCGCGGACGGAGAGTACAAGGCCTGCAGCGGGTCAAACTTTTCAGAACAAACGTTTGTTTTTTCTGCGGCGTCGTCCTCGTCGTTAGCGCCGGCCGCGGGCTTGGGCTCTGCTGCGGACACCCTGCTGTCTGACTTCTTCTGTTCGCTTTTTTCCATGTTTGAAACGACCAAAGAGCGGGTCGTGGGGAAGCGAGGAATCCTGGGAAAGTTGTTGCCGGTGTTGTGCCTAAAAAGGTGTGCCATCCGACGAAATCGCCCTTCATTCAGTTTTACGTCTTTTATCGCAAACTAGTGTTTACAAAAAATATGTAATCACAGCCACACAAACTACACGGTATAACCATATCAGTCTCCAAATGAGTGTTCTATATCATTTTGTTGTGGGAACAACGCCGGACATGTTTAACAGCTGCACAACTTATGACGAACAAAGTCATTCAAAAATTTAAATATATGCAATATAAATATAAAGAGTTAACTTTTTAAAATGTTGCGTTTGTAACATTTCAAGTAAATTTACAAAACACTTTTTCCCTTTCAGCCACTTTATTAACAGCTAAGGTGCTTGAGGTCAGGGGGACTTTATTTCAACACAACACCTATCAACACTAATTGTATTTATTCATTAGAAAACACAGCCCTCCTAAAAATGTAATGTGTTGTATTTACATTTATTTTCTGTAATATTTTGACATTATTTTCCAAGCTTTTTATGTCCATTTTAAACATTTACGGGTAAATGCTAACTTTTAAACACTGGATGGCGCTAAAGTACAACAATCCCGGAAAGGATCTTTGCGAGAATTTCTTTAGGATTCCACATTAATATACATTAATTAACAAAATATCAACCAATTGTAATTTATTAACATTTTCTAATGAGAACTAAGGAGAACTTTTTAGTTTTGCTTAAAAAAGGAAAAACAAAATGCCCGGAACCAAAGTGACGGTTGAGGAACTACGACGAAGTTAATGAACGGACTGTACACAAACCAACGTGAGTAAAATAAAAGGTTTTTACGTAACTTTATGATTTTATTTCTTTAAAACAGCATTTCTGTAACAAAATGAACAATAACCAACGCGTTTTAAATGCTAACTTGATACTGTTCATGAATAAATACAAGCTAGCTCTTTCAATGTAGCAGAATATTCATTCTAATCAACCCCGTTTCGGTTGTATTTTATTGCCTTGTGTCACCGTGTGTGCCTGATGTTTTCTAGTTCTCGGGAGCTCCTTAATGCTGACCAGAAGACTATCCGGACTTGGTGCAGGGGGTAGGACCTGGTTTGTCTCATCCATTTCTCGTTCTTTCACCCGATCCAGCATCATGGCTAAGAGCAAGTTTGAGTACGTCCGCAGCTTTGAAACGGATGACACCTGTCTGCGGAACTGCTACATCGTTGTCAGACTGGACGGACGCAACTTCCACAGGTGAGCTTTCTCTTCATCCCAGAGACGTGACGGTAGGAGTCAGTACTCTGTGTTGACCCTTTCCCTGTATTTTAATGTGGTTCAGGTTTTCAGAGCAGCACGCGTTTACTAAGCCCAATGATGACAGGGCTCTGGGGCTGATGACCAGGAGTGCTCGCTCTGTCATGGAGGAACTGGAGGACATCGTCATTGCTTATGGTCAAAGTGATGAGTTCAGCTTTGTTTTCAAAAGGAGCTCCACCTGGTTCAAGAGGAGAGCCAGGTACTCCTGTTGAATTGTCATTTTGGGTCAACGGGGAAAAACTGGGATCTGAGAGGACAGACAAGGGAAACGGACAAGCACGGAAGAGTTGGACAACCCAACCAGCTATCAGAATGATCAGAGGAGAGAGGGTGTGTGACTCACAGACGGAAACTAGAAGCTGGATCCACAAGAGCCTGAAAACAGGAATCTTTGTCTCTGTTGTACCGTTTGAAGCTCTAGGAGCCACATGTAAACCTGCTGTCTGAGACTGGTTCCTGGTGGAGCTTGGTCTTTTAGAGCTTAATGAGTTTCCCAGGAAGCCATTCGAGTGTTGCTAAAACTGAAGAAATAAGATCTCTCCTCCCAACGCTGACCTGAACTCTGGCAGAAACTTTGTGGATGTTTTTTTCTTCCATTCCATGTGAAGAAATGCAATAATGAGGCCTATTAATGATGTGCCTGTCCCACGTTTGTTGGTTTGGATCTGATCAGCCTATTGTTGCTTTCTTAGAAACATAGAAGGGACTTACTTATTTTTTCTCTTGTTTTTCTTGCAGCAAGCTCATGACCCATGTGGCCTCCCAGTTCTCCTCATCATATGTGTTTTACTGGAAGGAGTTTTTCGGAGAACAGCCCCTCTTGTGTCCCCCGAGCTTTGATGGGCGTGTGGTCCTGTATCCTAGCAACCGTAACCTTAGAGACTATCTTTGCTGGAGGCAAGCGGATTGTAAGGAAACGTGATGTCCTGAATTCTGCTTGGATGTTACAAACGGGTGATCTAAACTCGTTCTGTATGTTTTAGGTCACATCAATAACTTATACAACACGGTGTTTTGGGCGTTGGTTCAAAAGGGAGGACTCACTACCGCCCAGGCAGATGATCGCTTAAAGGTGAGAGCACTCAAGTATTAAACTAATGTCTTCCCTTCTTTTTCCCCGTTGTCTTCTTCTTGTTTAAAGTTTATTGTCCTCTAACTTGGGACATTAAATAAAATCCATCACTCAACAAAACATAAGGAATACATGTTCTACATTCCTCTGATCTGTAGTACGCGGTGCAGCCATAGTCAGTAGGATATTCAGTCTCGGCTACAAAAGTGCAGCTTAATAGTCAGCTTGGTCATTTTGTTAGAAAGTGACCAAACTTTACTATTTAATAAGTTTTCGTGAACACTTTAACCTTCTTTCAGGCAGATTGTCTTTACTTCCTGTGAATTTAAATAGAAGGGGATTTTATTCTCATCTGAATGATAGATGCAGCTGCACAAGGAGGAGGTATTTGTGTCCGCTGCCAGAGCAGCTGTTCTCCTGGCAGGACAGCAGCAGAGGGAATGTTTATCCTGGCTGCATGTTCGGACATCTCCAGTCATTAGTGGTTCAGGAAACTCTCCAAACCGTCCTGGAGGGAATAAAACTCTCCACGACCAGTTGGTGGCGCCGTTCTGATGGTGATCTGTTTGGAGAAATGAGTGATGTAGTGAAGCTTTAACCTGAACTCTTTTCGGGCCTTTTGTGGTCACCAAGGTGATACCTTCCACTTACATTGGCTTCTGTTTTGTTTTTAGGGAACGTTGGCGTCGGATAAAAACGAGATCCTGTTCTCAGAGTTTGACATCAACTATAACAACGAATCAGCTGTTCACCGGAAAGGAACCAGCCTCGTTTGGGAAAAGGTGAGACGCTGCAGAACGATACAGAACAGTCAGGGGAGGGGAAATCAGGGCTTATTGAGATTCAATCAGATGGATTTTTTTTTTTACAAAATTACAAAATTGATCCTTTTTATTTTATTTTAACAGATTATTGTTGAGTGAAGAAGTTAAAAAGGATATTTTGAAGCATTCAGGTCCTTCTCAAAAAATCTTCATATTGTGATAAAGTTCATTATTGTCTGTAATGTACTGATAAACATTAGACTTTCATATATATTAGATTCATTACACACTGCTGAAGTAGTTCAAGCCTTTTATTGTTTCTAATACTGATGATTTTGGCGTACAGCTCATGAAAACCCAAAATTCCTATCTAAAAAAATTAGCATATCATGAAAAGGTTCTCTAAACGAGCTATTAGCCTAATCATCTGAATCAACTAATTAACTATAAACACCTGCAAAAGATTCCTGAGGCTTTTAAAAACTCCCAGCCTGGTTCATTACTCAAAACTTCAATCATGGGTAAGACTGCTGACCTGACTACTGTCCAGAAGGCCATCATTGACACCCTCAAGCAAGAGGGTAAGACACAGAAAGAAATTTCTGAAGGAATAGGCTGTTCCCAGAGTGCTGTATCAAGGCACCTCAGTGGGAAGTCTGTGGGAAGGAAAAAGTGTGGCAGAAAACGCTGCAAAACCAGAAGAGGTGACCGGATCCTGAGGAAGATTGTGGAGAAGGACCGATTCCAGATCCTGGGGGACCTGCGGGAGCAGTGGACTGAGTCTGGAGTAGAAACATCCAGAGCCACCGTGTACAGGCGTGTGCAGGAAATGGGCTACAGGTGCCGCATTCCCCAGGCCAAGCCACTTTTGAACCAGAAACAGCGGCAGAAGCGCCTGACCTGGAACTGCTACAGAGAAGCAGCACTGGACTGTTTACTACTTGGATTGTTGTCCAAAGTACTTTTTTCGGATGAAAGCAAATTTTGCATGCCATTCGGAAATCAAGGTGCCAGAGTCTGGAGGAAGACTGGGCAGAGGGAAATGCCAAAATGCCTGAAGTCCAGTGTCAAGTACCCACAGTCAGTGATGGTCTGGGGTGCCATGTCAGCTGCTGGTGTTGGTCCACTGTGTTTTATCAAGGGCAGGGTCAAGGCAGCCAGCTATCAGGAGATTTTGGAGCACTTCATGCTTCCATCTGCTGAAAAGCTTTATGGAGATGAAGATTTCTTTTTTCAGCACGACCTGGCACCTGCTCACAGTGCCAAAACCACTGGTAAATGGTTTACTGACCATGGTATTACTGTGCTCAGTTGGCCTGCCAACTCTCCTGACCTGAACCCCGTAGAGAACCTGTGGGATATTGTGAAGAGGAAGTTGAGAGACGCAAGACCCAATACTCTGGATGAGCTTAAGGCCGCTATGGAAGCATCCTGGGCCTCCATAACACCTCAGCAGCGCCACAGGCTGATTGCCTCCATGCCACGCCGCATTGAAGCAGTCATTTCTGCAAAAGGATTCCCGACCAAGTATAGAGTGCATAACTGAACATAATTATTTGAAGGTTGACTTTTTTTGTGTTAAAAACACTTTTCTTTTATTGGTCGGATGAAATATGCTAATTTTTTGAGATAGGAATTTTGGGTTTTCATGAGCTGTACGCCAAAATCATCAGTATTAGAAACAATAAAAGGCTTGATCTACTTCAGCTGTGTGTAATGAATCTAATATATATGAAAGTCTAATGTTTATCAGTACATTACAGACAATAATGAACTTTATCACAATATGATGATTTTTTGAGAAGGATCTGTATATCTGTGTAAAAGTTGTAAATATCGATTAGGTAGTCTTCTGAACAGCTTCTGTTTAGAGAAATAGAGCTTATGTCCTTCAGGACTGATTAGCTAACAGCTAGGCTGTAATTTTCAAACTAACTTCAGTTTGAGCTGTCTTGAGGGATTTCTGAGGATGCCTGGTGAAACTTAAACTCCTGAGTAGCAATGGAAAGTCTTCACTGTTACAGAATCTGAGTCACATCATTGGTTAAGATCAGTAAACATTAAAAGACTCTCCCCCACACTGGATCATGCAGATCATTGTGTGCGGGTGTGTTTGTTGTCGTAGTCAAGTCCTTAAACCAGCTACACACCGACTGATGCTGCTGGTTCGTTTTGTTTTTCAGAATTAAGACTTTAAAGTGACGTATTATCAAAGAGTCGCTTTTGCATCGTCCTCTGCTGCCTCTGTGAACACTTCAAATGTAAACAAGACACATCCATCCTTTTTTGTCAGTGTTTGGTTTCAGGGATCAGATGCTTCTATAAGCTGTCTCAGATTTTCCCTTATTGTGATGTCACAAGTTAGCATAGAAACGCCCCTCACCTGTCAATGCTGGAAGAGCAACAGCTCCACTCCAAGGCCCTCTTGGACATCTGAGCTCCTCACCTCATAGCAGCCTGAGAGGGGATGGGTGGGCGTGGCCAACCTCTTAAAGTGACAGAGCCCTGACACGGCTCCTTCTGGAAGGTACTGAAAACATCCAGATCTCAAACTGCTGAAATTGCTTCATCAGTGCAAATAACTTCATGAACATATCTGGGAGCATATATGAGCTGTAAGCCATAATCATCACAACTATAACAAACACAGGTTTGTAGTTTGACGTGTTTAAGTTGAATCAGTGACATTAATGAACTTCAGCATCATAGTCACCTGTTTGTATGAAATGATCAAACTTAATAATAATAAGCAAATCCACTAGACTGATGTGGTGTCACAGACGTGGTCCTGGTTGTAATCCTCCTCACAAGAGGGATTATTAAACCTGATATTAATGCCGCTCCTGTAATAAACTCTGCTCATAGCAGGAAGTACGGTTAGATTAGACTTCCTGTCTGTGGACACTGAGTCAGCAGTTTTCATTGACTAGAAAGAACTCAGCTGAAGAGGCAGGAGAGTGCAGCAGCGCTGCAGAATGGCTTTCATTATTACTCGTAGCCACATTACTGTAGATGTGCTCTTTAGGATGAGACCAGTTTTCTAAATGAGCAACTTCCTGTCACTAAAGTCATTTCAAATAAGTCACTCCTTCACTTTTGGTAAATGTCAGCAGCCGGGCTAAACCCTGCAACAGGAAGCAGCTTAGTGGTTATGCAGCCTGCTGAATCCTGACGGTTGGATGGTAAAAGTCCGCTCACAGCTGGAAACAGCTGCAGCAGAGCTGTCAGCAGTCAGGGGCTTTCTGTAGGTGTATCACAGCTGTTTCATTCGGGGTTAAAAGAATGCACTTCACATTTAAAACAACAGTTCAGTCTTTTGGACAGTTTCATTGTTAACTTGTTGATTTGATGGTTGAGTCTTAAAGAGACGATGTGTAGTTTTTACCGTTGATCTCTGGAAGGATCCATCAGAATCTTCTGGAATGAGAATTAAATGATGCCCAGTTGTTGGCGGTTCCATCACATAATCATACAAATCAGGTCTAAATTACACGGGAGCGGGGCTGAGTCTCTGGGCGGCGCCATATTAGACGCCATGTTTCCTTCTGCGGGAGCCCATGAGGCCAAAATGGGTTACAAAACTTTAACCATTCATTTGTCTCTTCACTCGTTCGCTGCAGGCTGAAAGGACTCATTTGCTCCCAGAGATTTTTGACCCTAATGGCTATCCGTTGGTACGGTCTTACTCTAACACAAAAATACCGCTTGCTTGCAGTTTCCTTAGGTATGTACTGCCCCCTATCGTCGGGGAAACTACACACCGTCACTTCCAGTTGAAGAGTCCTCAGATACCAGGATTTATTCAGATTCTTTCCTGCTGATCTTTGCTGGTTTTTCATTATTTAAGTTGCACTCACGTTTTTCTGGTATAGATAAATGGTTTGATTCATCGTGCAGTAGTCCATAAAATGAGGTCATCAAGAGGTGTTCAGACAAACAGATCGTCGGACTTTGCACCGACGTCTGTGTGCATCCTGCTCTGTCTCCTGCTGTGGATCCGGACAGATGTGTGCGGTTTACGTTTAACAGCTCCTCTCTTGTTTCATGTAGAAGGACGAGACCGTCACCAAACGTATGAAGCTTCCCAACGCAGAGGAGAAGGAGGTTCATGTTACTCGCAGCAGGAGGAGAGTGGAGGCTCTTCACTGTGACCTGATCGGGGAGCAGTTTTGGGAGGAGCACCCAGACATCCTGGAGGAGGAGGAGACCTGCTGACAGCTCTGGTGTTATTCTCAGCATACGTTTTACTTTCCTTTAATAAATCTTTGTCACAGTGATTAACCGAGTCAGGACTTTTGCTTTAACTCCACTGTGATGTTGAGGACATGCTTGCTCTTCATCCTGCTCTTCTGAGGTTACTGTGCCAGAAATAAATCCTCATCCGATATCATGAATGGTATTTTAAAATACAACCATCACGAGTGTTTAACACGAGTCCTCTCGGCCCACTCTGGCACTTTTTGAGCCAGCTGTTATGTTGGAGTGAGTTTTGATGTTTCAGGGTGAAGCAGCTGGCAGGTTTAAGTGGTCCTGTCCTGGCCCGTTTGGAGACGTGAATGGACCTGTACTGTCATCAGTGCTAAGAATACCTCACACACCCCGCATACACTCTAGCCTCCTGACATGTGCTCTGTGGCTCAGTTATCATCACACTTAGAGAAGACCGTCCCAGTTTGGACGGCAGCTGGAAGCCAGCGTCCGTGTTCTTGTTGCCGTAGTGGGCTCGGTTGCTGTTGGTAGTGGCGGTGGTATTTTTGGTTCTGGGAGCTTGCTGAAGCACGCGGCTGTACTTCCTGGAACAAGAAGTGAACTTTCTAGTGAGCTGTTTAGAGACAAATATGGTAAATGGCCTGTATTTGATATAGCGCCTTCTAGAGTCCTGGAACCCCCCCAAAGCGCTTTACAACACAATCAGTCATTCACCCATTCACACACACATTCACACACTGGTGGGGATGAGCTACGATGTAGCCACAGCTGCCCTGGGGCGCACTGACAGAGGTGAGGCTGCCGAGCACTGGCACCACCGGTCCCTCCGACCACCACCAGCAGACGAGGTGGGTCAAGTGTCTTGCCCAAGGACACAACGACAGCGACAGACTGAACAGGGCTCGAACCTGCAACCTTCCGATTACGGGGTGAGATCTTAATTCCTGTGCCACCGTCGCCCAGCTATGTTAATGTGAAACCAATACTTACCATGAAGAAGCCATGTGCCTAAACCAGGGGTGACCAAACCTTTAAAGAACAGGGCCAAAACGTTCAAGCTAAAGGTCCTTGAAGGCCACAAATATGTGATTTTATTCATTTAATAATGCAGAAATTACTATTTGGAGATGTCTTTGTACTCGTATGCCTCACAATACGCCGCAAATAGTAATAATCTCAACATTAGTGGTAGAAAGTGTTGATTTACATCAACAGCCAACTGGAGGGACAAAATTCAACGTTTTAAAAAAGCTATTGGGAGCCAAATCACTGCCAATGGCCAGAAATGGTCCACGGGCCACATGTTGGACACGCTCAGACCCCATAGGCCAGAGGAAAGCCTGGACACAAGCATGCTGAGGTGTTCACACACTTGTGCATCTTAAACTGCATTTATTTTCATCACAAATATAGAATAGTTTAATCAGCAAACCAAATTATTCAATAGTGTCTCGAAAATACGTCTAATGACCAAAGGAAAACATCTTAACGCACCAAGAAATTTAATTTCAGCAAATTATAAGAAAATGCATTCACACAATGTGTTTAACTCTGCAGCCCAGAACGCGACAACAGTCAGGTCATTTAAGGTCCTTTAGTTGTTGTCCGGTCGTCTTGTCGTCTTTTCACACAACTACCTTAAATAGAGCGCAAGTTAAATATGTTTGCATCCATTTGGCTCAGTTGGACAGCACCATCAGCCATCGTCACCACCACGCCCACCGCTGCGGTGTGTTTTTGTGTCGGGTACAGATCACGTCGTGCTCGCAGGTTGCATTTTTTATGTTCAGATATTTCTATGAGGCTTGTTTTTTAACAGCAAAGTAAAAAAATATGTTTTAGGTTTTTCAATTGAAAAAGTCATATTTTTGAGGCCCACATGGATGTTTAACTGATTCATTTGGGTTCTCGCCTTGAAAAGTGTGGATGCCCCTTGCTTGGATGGAAGTGGGTCCAAAACCGTGGAGTCAGCCACTGGAGGGACAAACACCATACAAACTGTTCAGTTTAGCTTTATTTAAATGTTTCAAATGAAAATAAGTATGCACAGTTATGTGTTTGGTTTACTTTAAATATTTAGGTTTAACTTTATTTGAATGTAAATGTGAATATAGCTTTACAGTCAGCACCCCATACAGCCAGTGCTTCTATCTATAGGTCTAGGCTACGCCCACTCAAATCAGGGAGCAGAATTATACATACAATAATAAAATAACATGGGCATGCACACTATGGAACTCTAAAGTATTCAAAATTCAATAAATAAATAAGACATTATGAAATAAATATCTACATGAAGAAATACTAGACAATCGTGTAATCTGACAATGAAATGATGAAATAACAGAATGTTATCTAAGCTCAATATTATGAAATATTTTTCATTCTTCTTTTAAAATGTCTTTTTTTCAAGTCATTTTTTCATAATAATCCAAATTAATATTGAGTTATTTTTTTAATTCATTCAGTTTTTATTACATAATGTCTAACGAGTATTATCATGTAGGTAATATAAACCAAATGCATTATAAATGGTGAATGCAGTAGGATGTTTTTTAATGTAAATTGGACCTTAGAGCTTCTTATTTTGCATCAAATGAGGGTAAAACGTTTTAAAAAACAGGCTTTTTAATAAAATAGCATTGAAGTGTTTTCATTGTGCATTTTTTTATTTAGCTTAAGCCTAATGATGATTAGATCTGTCTTAAAAATGCTAATTCTCTGTAGTTTCCCCTGCTGCTTGTCTTTAAACTGAACAGAACCAGTGTACTGCAGGTTATAGGTTTCATCTTTCAGTTCTTTTTAAAACACAGAAAAGGTTCATTTACCTGCAACGTTTCGTTTGCAGCTGCATTGATTACATCAAAAACGTGCACATCTTAGGAACCGCCTTCGCTTCAATTTAAGATGCCAGAAGGGCGTCAGCCTGATGATGTTTGCAGCCGCAAAAGAAATAAACCTTTTCTGTGTTTTAAAAGGAACTGAAAGATGGAATATGAAACTAAACACAGCAAGAACACACCAAAGAGGTTATGGGTTTGTTTTACATTTTTCAATAAATAACCTCTTTTTCAATCTATTACAGGTCAGCATGCACTGTGCTGCGCATCTGCCTCTGTGCTGGTGAAGTTGTGGGTCTGCAGGATGAGCGTGAGGAAGATGTGTGTGGAGGAGGTCAGTGGTGCTCTGTCCTGCAGGAGGTACCAGCAGACCACTACTGTTAACAGGCAAGTCATTCACAGAGATGTAACAGCCGTCGTCTGAGCCAGCCCAGCAGTCCCTGTAGATGGACGATGGAGTGGACAGTGAGAGGAAGTGTCCCAAAGCTCTCTCTGCAGACCGTCCTGTATGATGTTCCTCTGACCAGAAACGTCCAGCCACGGGTCTGCTCCAGCCCTCCATCCACGTCTGGATCCTCCTGCAGCAGATCCAGCTGCACTGTTAAAGACTTCCTGCTCACTCAGTTTAAATAAATGATCCAGGAAGAGTCACTCAGGTTAATCCTGCTTTAACCGTACATAACTGGTCCATACTGGTTTTTATCTGTAAATAAGTGTAACGTATCATAAATAATCTTGTCTCCTTACCATCTTTTCATTTTCTGTTCATGTAACATGTTCAAAAACATCTGTAATAATAAAACTGGTGATAAAATCAATGACCAGAAAGAGTTATCAGTTAGTATTTGTTTTAATAAATGTGCTCAAATATCAAACAGCTAAATAACATCAACATGATGACAGTAGAAGGCCTCTCTCCCAGGATGACAACCAGGTAAAGCCTCTCCTGACCCTGGACACCTGCAGTCCTACAGAGAAAATCAGACCACAGGTGACAAAAAGGCAATAAACACATTTTTACATTTATCCACATGAGAAGATAAAACTTATATTCTTCACACAAACTTTTTACTTCATTAAAACGTGTCAGCTGTGTAAATCCCTGAATGTAAAACTACTTTTCACAGCAGAACACACGATAAACTACTGTGGTTGTGTGTAGCCCTAACCCTAAAACACACACACACACACCGGGAATAAAGACCTGCGATACAAACTCGTTCTGGCTGATTTCTGCCTAAAATGTATTTTAAAACCAAATAAACGATAAATGTCTATAAACAGAACCGCTTTAAGCTTTTTAGTTTTCTACGGCTAGTTTTTAACAAACTACGTTTAAAACCTTTTTTTTTTATTTGCACAAAATATAATGTACAACAATTATGGCAATCTCTACAAGGAATCAGTTTTACCAACATGAGATAGTACCAGAACAACATGAGATAGTACCAGAACAACATGAGATAGTACCAGAACAACATGAGATAGTACCAGAACAACATGAGATAGTACCAGAACAACATGAGATAGTACCAGAACAACATGAGATAGTACCAGAACAACATGAGATAGTACCAGAACAACATGAGATAGTACCAGAACAACATGAGATAGTACCAGAACAGGCTGAATTCCAACATATAGATAATGAACAGGAAGTACAAACAGCAACAAATAAATAAATAAAATAAAAACAAACCCCAAACAGAACAAATAAGCAAACAAATGAACAAAAAGTCAGATCATTTAAAAAACATAAAAAAGTTATACCTTAGGGGCTTTCTAACAGATCTAGTTCAACAATCATAGGATTCAAATCCAGAGCTTGTTTTTTGTCCATAAATTTAACAGATGAGAAAAGGAGGCAGAGTTCTTTGTGAAAAGTTAAAAAAAAAGAATGAAGAATTTGCCCATAATAATTATTACATTTAAAACATTTTCAAGCTTCTTTTAGAGAACCAAACATAATACCATTTTTAGAAAATTCAAGTAAGTGTGGGATCTTAGGGAAGAGCCAGTAGTGCACACATCGTTCACGTTTACGTTTAAAACCTTGTAGCTCTGCCCATTTTCTCTTCCTGTTGAAAGTCCACCGCCGGCGCGCAAAGCATGCTGGGATAGCCTGGTTCTGTTACAGGAACACCAAACGACGCGGGAGGATTAACCAATGGTGTTTCAGGCCACACCCACTCTGCTGTAAAGCATCATGATGAAATAAATGAGCCATGGGAAAAACACAATAATGAAATAAAGCTGTCTTTGTTAAAATGACGTTATGTAATAAAAACTGAATGAATTAAATAAAAATGGCTCAGTATTAATTTGGATTATTATGAAAAAATAACTTTTGAAAAGAAAAAAACTTTATATTAATAAAGACATTTTAAAAGAAGAATGAAAAATATTTCATAATATTGAGCTTAGATAACATTCTGTTATTTCATCATTTCATTGTCAGATTACATGACTGTCTAGTATTTCTTCATGTAGATATTTATTTCATAATAACTTATTTATTTATTAAATTTTGAATACTTTTGAGTTCCACAGTACACGGGACTCGTGTTTTCCTGCTAAAGCTGTTGGGTCTGGTGCGTAATTTCCGCGTGTCTGCTCATCTGAACAAAGCTCCATCAGGTCCATCCTGACTCGCCCGAGCTCCGTGCGTCTGTGGGAGGGGCTGATAGCCGAAGTGCGGCTCCGCAGTCTGCAGCATCTCAGTCAGCGGGCGATGGCGCACCGCCGACAGGCTCTCCGCTCCGGCTGATGTAGCGGAAGCACAACCAAAGCCCGCACATGCATGCTGTTTTCTGGGTTTGGAGCCGGTTCGTTGGGAGAATGCGTCCTCCTCCCCTCGGTGCTTCGCCGCTCTGTCTCCTGCTCCTCCTCGCCCAAGTGGCTGCTGCTGGGTGTGAAGCTGGTGTTTATAACCGTGAGTCCGACTCTCCTAAAACCTAAATACGTGCAACTTAAATGCAGTTTATTAAAATATGCATTCATTCAGAAACGTGTAAATCGCGGTTCCTGGTTGTAAACCCTGTTGTGGCTTTCTGACAGGAGAAAACAAGCAGAACGTCCTTGATCACGTTCAGAGTTATGAGATTACATCCCCCGTTTGGCTGCATCCTCTCCAGCACCAGAGATCAGCCAGCAAAGAGGTGAGTCTGGCTGCACGATGGCCAAGTGATGGAGATCTGACCTTTTAAGTGAGGTTTTTATGACAAATGTTCATCTGCTTGATGTTTTCCTGCCAGCATCCTGCAGAGCTCCAGGTTCTCATCTCAGCTGAGGGTCAGGAGCTCCGACTACAACTGGAAAAAAATGAGTGAGAAACTTTACTTCTTCCTGTCTGCTTCTTCCTATGGTCAAAAAGCCAATTTTCCATGTGATTCGGTGCACTTTTTTGGCTTGAAGTTCTCTGTTTGACCAGATGTTAGCTGTCACCAGGTTCATTCATAAGGTCAGTGCCCCTCAGGGTGATGAGAGGGGAGGTGGGGGCGCTTCTGGAGGACACCCGATCCCTGTGCCCCAGGCTAACAGGAAGTATGACTGTGCCTCTGCACCTACAACATCCTGCAGTCTGTCTGGAGGTTCCTGCTAACAATAGCTAGGAGAGGTGTCTCCCCCACTAACACCCCCCCGAGGGTTTATCGTGGCATTTGAGCCAGCACATAAGTCACTTACACACCACAATACCACCACTCATGCATGTCTGAGGCCAAATGTGCCATTTCATCTCCCCGCAGACGTTAGCTGTGCTTGATCTTCATCTGTCACGGCCGTCTGTGCAAACAGAAGTAACAAGGAGTGGTGCTGAAGTTGTGTGATACAATCTGTTCTTTGGAAACAAGATTGAGAAGTTGTTCCCTGAGGTTGAATGTGTACGCTACAAGCTGTTACGTAAAAAAGGAAACAGAACATTTCCAAACACGGGTACAGAAGAGACCTGTTTTTAAAACTATTCTTGTGCAACGTCTTCGCTTCACGGGAACAGGAAACGTGTGACCATTTCATCACTCACTCCAACAACTTCTGCTGCAGATTTGTGGTTAAATTTGTGAAAATTTGCCCCCCCCCCCCCCCCCCCACACACACACACACACACACACACACACAGGGGCAAAACAGGATCAGTCCTCTGTCACTGGTGCAACTTTCTGGTTCAGTCATCAGTGGTTTCATGTTTTATTCCAGAAGCTGCATAGACATGTTGGTGGTAGAGAAGCTGCTGCAGCGTGCTTCCTGTAACTTCAGCGGGTGTTGCCACGGTGCTGTCGCTTTCACCACACAACGATAAATGATCCCAGAACCTAGATGAGTGTTTCACTTCCTGATAATGAACCTTTTCATGTTGGAACGTCACATGACAGATCAGTTCTGGAGCTTCTGGTCATGATTTCGTCTGGGTCCTCCCAGGATGGCTCAGCAGCTTCCACACTAAGAGCTGGTTAGCCGTTCGTCTGAGGTTCACCCTCTCACGCGCTCAGACTCTGCATCTCGTGGTGGTGTACTTTGTTCTGATTTATCCTCTGATGTGGAGACACAAATGCTGTGGGACTAAAAGCCGAGCTGAGGAGGAAGATTGATGTCAGATGTTGGAGCGAGGCCAGATAAGTCGCTGCCTCTCTGGAGTCCTGGCTGCATCTTTGTGTTGGTGCTGCTTTTAAAATGCTGCTACTCGGTCAGCAGATGACTGGAGAATCCTAAAGCAGCCGTGAAATGGACTCAATGTTGTGTTTTATTTGTCTGGAGCTAGTTTTCTCCAGCTGTCCTCCCTTTTCGTCCAGCTTCACCTCGTCGGCTCCTCATAAAACAAATCCCTTCAACCAAGCACGGAAGAAAACATGGCTGATTGTAGGACGGTTCTCTGAGTGGCTGCAGTCCAAACTCGGCCCTTTTCTGTCCTCCCTGTTGTTCTCTTGGACGAGCATTTGGTGCTTGACTTCACTGGCATGGATGTGCGCCTGCCTGGGCTTTTATCTAAATGAAAGTGTTCCCGTGGAGAGCTGACTGGGTTAAAAGCCAGACGTGTGCTGACTCAGACAGCAGCAGAAGTTCTGAACAGAGAGGTGGGAAGGAAGCGGGGTACGGAGGGAGGAGAAGGGCTGAGGGTCAGTTGGGGTGTGAGTTACCCCCCTGCTTCAGATAGGACTGGTGTGGATGTTTCCACTTCCTCTGTTGGTGGGTTTAATGCCCGTCCTGCTCACCAGCCTGAGTTCAGCCCTCTCTGGGGAGCCGCCGGCTGCATCGGTTCTCCTCTACTCTGCCCTTATCTTGTCTTCATGTCGTATTTCTTCCTCGGACCAGCTCTGTTGTGTTGTCGCTCCTCTCACCTCTCCTGATATTCCCCAGGGCCTCTTGTATAAACACACGTGGCTCCGCTCACGCTCAGCGGTCGGGGGTTGGCGGCCACGCGCAAACAGATGACAAACTAACTTTTTGCACTCAAAAGAACACAAAGACAGCAAAACCTGCAGAGTTGTCATTGTTTCTCCTCACGCCTCACTTATGTCAGCTAAATAAAAACCTCGTCATCATCTGTTGCCGAGTTGTATTTTGACTTTGCATCAGCTTTCTCTCTCTGTCCTCCCGACTCAGAGCGATGATGTCATCCGATACCATGAGGGAATGCAACCCACTGACCCTTTTGCACTAGCCATCATGCTCCCCTTCTCCCCACCCTTTGCTGTCTCCTAAGTACATTAGCATTACTCCCCCACTGCTGCCTGCTCCTGATGTTGAACCGGCTCTTTGTCTCCGCTCCGGCGCGCGTGATTCTTGCAGCAATGCCATCCTCAATCACAGCGTCTGTGTGGACGCTGGACAGCTTCCAGCACTTGCTCCATCACTTAAAGTTCTACGTTCTTGTTTAAAAGCTTTCATCAATATTAACCAGAATGCAAATAAGTACAACACTCCGACGTTTTCTAAAGCGATGAGTTTCAAGCTGGTTGACTCTGGCAGTTAAAAGAGTGAGACATCCAAACCTCACACATAAAACCTCATTTTGGCCTTTACCCGCCATCTTTTCTGTTTATGTCTGTGCCTAAAGCTTATATTTCAGCTCAGTTGATTTCTTTAAAACTCGTCTAACCTGTTTGACAAGCTCAGTAAGGTGAGAATAGGCAGCTAATAAAAATAGCACCCTCGATAAACGGTATTTACGCTGCTTAAAACAGCTCTAGTCTCCCAGATGTCTGCACTTCACGCCAGCGCTGTTGTAGAAACCTTTAGATTGGTGCTGCGGTCACATTTCACAGGTTTTGTGTTGAAAATGTTAAAAATACAATCACGAGACATTAATTACAAGAAATGCTACCGTTAGCTAGCTGCTATTTCTGCTAGCATGATTTTGTGTGAATATAAGTGTTCAGAGCTATTTCTACTTGTATTCACATGAAATACTATAATGTTGACATTATTGTTGTTTAAATCAACTTTAAACTAATCTTCAGTTGACTTTAGTAGCATTTAGCCTTTAGCTAAGAAATGATCTCTGTTTCTCCAAACTGAGCCTGTCCAAAGAGCTCTCTGGGACAGGTCAACGACTCGTTCTCAACTTTTTCACAGAACCCAATTGGAAAACTTTTATCTTCATCATTCTCAATTAGCCTTGTTGCTTAAATGTTTAGAATTGGTCATTTTTATGAAGAGAATTAAAAACACATTTGAGCTCTTGGAGACGCTGATGAAGATGCTTCAGGTTATATTAAACTATATTTCCATTCATCCAAACGAAAGCCAACATAATCAGTTGTTTTACGGTGCAGCTGTGTTAACACACACACACACACACACACACACACACACACACACACACACACACACACACACACACACACACACACACACACACACACACACACACACACACACACACACACACACACACACACACACACACACACTTCTCTATCTCTGTTCTCCAACCTGCAGAACCAAGTGACACAAAGCGAAACTCGTCACACCCATCCTCATGTTTGCTTGAGGTTTTGTTCGATGGTTTCTTTTTGCCAGCCGTGCAGTTGAACTGAACCAACCTGACGCATTTACAGCTTATTCTGAAGAACATCAAGGGACCAGAAGGTTGTTTGTGTGAGCCATCAGCAGATAGATCTCATTTCCTGCAGACACAACCAGGGCAGCACCAGGGTGAGCTACATGCTTTACTGGTGATATGTTGGGTCTACATGTCACACTGTGGCAGGTTGTAAAGCCACCAGTCTGCCAGTTTACACACACCACTCACCCCAAGGAGCTTTTATGTCAGCGTGCCTGAGCTCAGACGCAGAGCTGCTGACCGGCGTGAGAACGGAGACAGTCTCTTTCACAGAGAAGGAGAAATCCCCCTCTTTGCTAAGGCGACATCAGTAGGGGGAATTCAGAGTCATCTGCTGTCCCTCCAATAATTAAACACCTATTAGTAACAGAGAAGCTACAAGATGAGATGAGTTAGAGATGCAGAGGAGGGCCAGACGAGGTCAGCAGGTCGCACTAGTCTGTTTAGGATGACATCACCCTCCCAGACTGATCATTTGGTCTTTTATTTGTATGAATGTGTGAATGCAGGCCTCTCCCGCTGCACCCGGGTGGCAGTCTGTTAAATAATGAAGGAGCTGTTTTCTGTCTTTGACCTGCTTTGTTGCAGATTGCATCAACAGCTGTTTCTAAGGGCTCGTCTCCCTCAGGGCGTCTGGGCGAGAAAATAAAAGAGCCACTTTCCTTCATTTGTCCTCATCCGGCTGTAAATGGACTTATTGTTGAGACGTGCTCTTTTACACTGTCATGAGGCGGCCCTCTCATGTGTGCTTAAAGTTAAAAAATCACAAATAGCAGCAAGAATCTAGCATAAAGGCTAGCAAAAGGGCAACCAGCAACAAGAGTCTGTGTGAAAGATGAAAGCAGCCCTGTAAGATCGTAGTTTTTAGCAGACCCAAAGATTAGACTCTGGAGAATAAATCAGTTCATTTCAGTTTATTTATATAGCACCAAATCACGAGCAGAGTCGTCTCAAGGCACTTCACAAAGGTCAGGTCATTCAGCCAATCAGGAAAAAGTTTCCTATATAAGGAAAACCCGAGTTTGAACAATAATATTTAGAAAATGATCAGTGCTCTGAGGCTAACATGAAAGCAGTCTCCTGCACCCGGTGAACATGAAGCCGTTGGGAGCGGGTACGGGTGGCTCACCCAGGCTGCTGCAGTCGGATCTTTTAAGGAGAAATGGGACGCGAATGAAAGTGAGACAGAGGAACAGAAGAGCAGCTGTGAGGCAAAGTTTATGAATGAGAACAGGAAGGATGGACGGAGACTCAGCTGGGCGGAGTGCAGCAGGAAGACAAGCATCAGCGTTGGTCTGAGTCCAAAGGCACACTGATGAAGGATTAGATGTTTCGCCCAAATAAAGTGAATGTTTGTCCAGACGTGTGTGTGTGTGTCTCCCTTTCATCTATCAGCCTCCCCCGTGGAGTCTGGAGGGCAGACACACTGGAGGACATTTGTGGATTACCGTCTCATTTAACAATCCCAGTTTGGCCTTAAAGCTTCAGCGTAGAGAAGCTAATGTTTCATTTTTCAGCTTAAAGCAAAATGATGATCCATCTAGGTTTTACTGGACCTTCTCTGTACAGCTGAGATGACTGAAGCCGCTTGCTTCTGCAGAGACTAAAGAGGTCATGAGCTGTGGACGGCTGCAGTCTTTGTCCTTTTCTATCAGCTCACCTATCTGCAGCTGTTTCTCATTAAACACCACCCAGTGCTCATCTTTCACTGCCGGGCCTCCTCACGTTTGATGTTCCTGTTGCTGACAACGTCATCTTTCTGTTGTCCCTGTTCTCCAGACAGCTGTTGGCCCCTGGATATCAGGACATATGGTACACCGCTGACGGAGCGCGCCGGTCGTCTTCTCCTAACAACACTGTGAGTCTAAAGAAACGAAACCTGCCAAAACAGAATCAAGATGAACTCGTGACGCTTAAATAAGTCAGGTTTTATGGCTGAATCGTGGTTGTAGACATGGTTTCCCTTAAAAGAGACACATTTCAAAGGAAGATGATGTTTTACAGACACATTGTTTCTACCATGGTGAGGTCGTGGGCATGGAAGGCTCCAGTGTTGCAGTCAGCACGTGCTTGGGCATCAGGTAAGGAAACACTTATAAACAAAATTCCTACTGATGATGAAGACCAAACGTTCACTGGTGCTGCTTTGGTCACGTGCATGTGTGATCTTTTAGCCATTAGAATATCGCCTATAGAATGAATTAAAGGTGTGGATCACTGACAAACGTGGAAGGCTGTTGTTGGTGTAGCATCCATGAAACAGCAGAGGACGTCCCAGCTAGTAGAAGCTAACTGTTCGCATAAGCAACTACACCGCATGGCAGAGCTCCTTCAGGCGTGTGTTATTTGTGGAGATAAAACATCAACGTTGCAAGTCAGTGGTAGAGTCGTGTTGCTGCTAGCCAATCAGAGGAGAGATGTCCAAATATCAGGAAATAAGACTCCAAAACCTGCCGTCTGAAGCCCAGCTGTGATGTGGCTCACTTCTAGTTCCTGAAAATGGTGCACTGGGTTTTTTCCCCCAGAGTACGACTCACAAGGCACCCGTTCCTACTAGAGACCACCACAAATGTACTGGTTCAACGAGTGAACCACATCTTTAAAGCTGCGTAGTTGTATTGATTTTAGGGATGTCCACCATGATACCATTATCATCGATCGGCCAATATTGGTATTTGAAATGATCCGTTTTTACTCCTTCAATGACATGACATACCAAGGCCGTTTCTCAATACTCAAGGACGCTAGCATGTTCTCGAGCACCAGACAAGTATGTTCTTGGCAAGGACACCAGAGAGTCTGTTCTGCTGAGGACGGCATTTGGAACAGAACCGTACACCGCTGCATCATGGCAACAAGTGCTGCTTGTTTCTAGCTACGGTTAAACGACCTGAAATGAAAATAAAAGTTTAGTTTGTTCCTTAAATAACAAAATAGCAACTAAAACATATTATTTGTATTATATTTCGTCCACCTTTGATGAAAACTGATAAAATACCAGCATTTTCTGCTGTTGAATGAATAAAACTTTTTTTTCCCATCAAAGCAGAGATATGCTGCTTTTATTTTGATAGTGGGTTAGCTAATTAGCATTTTGAAGGATCGTGAAAAGTAAAACCGAAATACGCACACCTACATTTACAGCTAACCCAATTATTTACAATAACAGACAACTTAATATTCATTTATTAGTATTCCGGATATAAACTCTACAGTTATTAGATTTATCCTCTGACCTTCAGAGTATAACTTTGCGGTTGCGACGCAATGCATTGTGGTAAACTTTGCTGTCCCAGGTCTGCAGAAGCATGCATCGATGCACCCTCGATACAAAAGGCAGAGCAAGAACACATCCGGGAACTTTGGGCAAACTTGCCCTGATGCATACGTAGGGTTAGAACAGTCGCTGGTGACGTTTCACACGGACGTGAGAACACAAGTACAGACAGGTCTGCATGATGAGAAACAGCCGAGTCATGGTCAGCTCAAAACGTGATTTGTTTTTGACATATTTTTGTTTGTTGGGCTCATCTGGCTTAGCCTAACTGAAGTAGTTAAAAGAGGGAATGACCTGCAGAACCAGCGATGTTATGTTAAATAATCTCATTTTTTTATCAGGGGTGAACCCACATATCAGTTTATATCGTTTATTTATCTCAGTCAAAAAGCAGATGTTGAACATGACTAATTATTATTATATCACAATCACAAGAACTTTGAATCACAAAGTCAGACTACATGAAAAAATGTTTGGCAATAAAATGGGCCCTCACTCCCCTAATGGGACAGACACTTTACTGCCACTAACAAGAAGTTAGTCATGTTCTCACCTCAGATGTGTTGGCATCTGTCGCTCTGTGAATTAAAGCCACGTCCTGCTGATGCACACTTCAAAGCTTCAGTTCATTGATTTTCCAGGACCATGAGCGCTGAATAAGAACTTAAACCGTCATTTTAAACAAATCACTGCATAAGTTTAGGCATTTAAAATGAAGAGGTATTCTAAAACTGACTGTGTCATGGATTCTATCAATAACCCATTTCCTGTAGTGAAGAGAGAAGGAGACAATGAGCAGACAAGTCAAACAGTTATAACTGTGGCAAGGTGCACGAGGCAAAATGCCCCGAACATCCGCTCACTGAGTTTATTTGTAGAGAGATGGAAGAGAGACAGAGGGAGACAGAGAGAGAGAGAGAGAGAGAGAGAGAGAGAGAGAGATTGTGTGTGTGAGTGTGGGAAGTCAAGAATGAGTGTGTGTGTGTGTGTGTGTGTGTGTGTGTGTGTGTGTGTGTGTGTGTGTGTGTGTGTGTGTGTGTGTGTGTGTGAGTGTGTGTGTGTGTGTGTGTGTGAGTGTGAGTTCTGAACTAGTGGGCATGAAGAGGCATAGAGCAGTACATGTTACATTCAGCTGATTGAGTCCATGATCAAGAATGAATAAACATCATTTTCCATAACAGTCTGTTAACCTGACTTGTAATAAAATGCAACCGGAGCTAGCTCAAGCTGAGTTCGGAGCTCACAGAGACTATTGGGTCGGTGGGGTTTGGCTCCAGAGTTGGGTCATCGAGTGCAGCTCGGTGTGCAGATCCTGTATTGCTCCTTGTGTTGCCACGGAGCTGTTAGAATGTTTCCTGCTGGAGGCGCTAGTGAGCGAGCACTGCCAGAGCTCAAGTGTTTACATGGAGGTTGTAGCTCTGCATCTGGAGGGGGAGTGGATGAACCAGCTCCATGTAGATTCTCCAGAGGAATGCAAACAAAGAAAAATCCGACGTGTGGGTGTCTGATGGTTCCAGATGTTTTCTGCAGCTGCATGACCCCATATGTTTGTGCTCATTCTGGCCCAGCTGATCTTTTTTAATGTGCAGTAAATCAGCAGAGACATGCTCACTTCTGAGCTGGACCAATCACAAAACTCCTGAGGAACTTCCTCTGCAGTTGAAAATCACGTAAAAATTGCACAAAGCATCATGGTTCTGGTGGCAAACAAAAAATTAAAATAAAAAACACACAGATGCTGTTTGGTTTATTAAATCCAATTGCATGGAACCATTTGTGGTGTCTTGTTTCCCCAGGGGACTGATTTCATTGAACACAAGCGTCAGCTACCTGATAGAGCCACTTCCTGAAGCTCAGAGGCACGCTGTGTTCAGAGCCGAGAGCCTCCACCTTCCCAGGGGAAGCTGTGTTCATCACCATGGCGATGAGGATCATCAGGACAGGCTAAATGACTTCATCCATGGAATGATGTCACTGCAGAGTCGCAGGGTTGGTTCAGACGTATCCGCCGGCGACCACTTGATGGCATTATGGAACAAAGTATGTCAATATTAAAAGATGACCGTCTGTGTGTGCAGGAGAAGAGGGAACTGAGCCGGAACATGAAATATGTGGAGCTGCTGCTGGTGGCAGACAGCGCTGAGGTGAGGATGATGTCGTGCTTTAGTCGTGGTGCAGTCAGAGTTAGCACTACTGCACCTTCTGCACTCAGAATCCATCCCCTCAGCACCTGTCTGAGGCGTTCATGTTGTCGTTTCCTTCTGCAGCCACTGATGATAACTGATACTTCTTCTCTGGTTGCTGGTGTCTGATAAGTTCCTCTTCATCAGAACGAGGCAGGCGCGTTACGTGTTTGTGCTCTCTGGTTTGTGTCGATACAGTTTGAGTGGCATCAAAGGAGTTTGGACAGGACCCGTCAGAAGCTGCTGGAAGCTGCCAACCTGGTTGACAAGGTAACGCTCCAGCCTGAGGAGAAGACTGTTTAGTCACAGGAAGACTAACACGCCCGTCACTTCTGCTCCTCTGTTCGCACCACCAGTACTACAAGGCTTTGAACATCCGTGTGGCTTTGATCGGTTTGGAGGTGTGGACCGACCAGGACAAGATCAGCGTGTCCGATAACCCGCGCAGCACTCTGGATGCGTTTCTGTCCTGGAGGAGAAAAATGCTCAAAACTCTCCCCAACGACAACGCCCAGCTCATCACGTCAGTATCTCCCCTACCCAGCCAGTGTGCTGCAGCCGCTTCCTTGCTCTGACTCGATACTTTAGCAGAATTCAGCGGTATGGAGGCGGCTAAACCGTCTGATTTGGGTGTAATCTGGACAGGTAGCAGTTTGTCTCATAGCTCCTGTCAGCAGATGTCGGAACATCAGCAGTCTAGATTAGAAACTTCACTTTAAACAACAGCGTTCATTTTAGCGACGCGTTTTTGTTCAGCCGGAGCTGCAGACTAAGTGGAGCCTGATGTGCTGTAACACGAGTCAGTGATGTTAAAACGGTAGAAAATGTTTTAAACAGGGTTTGAGTCCGTCTCCACCTGCAGCTCCTGGTGCACATCTGAAGAACACGTCTGGCCTTCGCACACACAAGGTCTTACAGATGCTGAGCCAACGTTAAAACCAGAACGTTGAAGCAGCCTTGCTGTGCTTCGTGGAACGACTGCATTAAATATCCACAGCAGGATGACCCTGAAAGTACCCATAATACTCTCAGGGTTCTGTTCCTTTCCTGCAAATAACATCCCATAGGTCAACAATTGCTCGTGTTAACTTTTTTTTCGTATTTTAAGATCTGATAATAAAAAAATAATTCTGTTTTAGTAGATTATTACAGAATAGTAAAACCATTTATTTCTGACTTTAATCTCAGACTTTCTTAAGTTATTCCCAGGATTCTTACTCTTCAGTGAATCGATTCTTCTGTAGATGTTTTTCACAAATTATAAGTGTTCTCCGAACACAGTTTACTCCCAGTGGACTGGGAGGACTGTGCTGGCTGCAGGCCGCTGCCTCTGAACGAGTTTTAATGACCACCGGGCCGTTTGTGTGCAGGGGGAGGTCATTCCAGGGCACCACCATCGGGCTGGCCCCTCTCAGGACCATGTGCTCTGACTACCAGTCCGGTGGAGTGAACACGGTAACAGGAAAACGATAATTTAACAATTTTCTGTTCTTTATTCTGCACAACAAGACCTGCTGTGTTGGTTCCCTGAGATAAGAGGTATCTGACTCCTCTACTGAACAGGACCACGCACCCGTATCTTCTGTCGGCGTTGCCGCCACCATCGCTCACGAGATGGGCCACAACTTCGGCATGAGCCACGACACCGCAGGCTGCTGCCAGGCGAGAGCCGAGGACGGAGGCTGCATCATGGCTGCTGCTACCGGGTATGAAACTCAGACCGGGAACTGGACTTGAGTCATTTAGCAGAGAAACGGAAAAAAACTCCGATTCCTCCACCAGGGCTCCATTTCCTAAAGTCTTTAGTGGCTGTAACCTGAGGGAGCTGGAAGTCTTCCTGAGCTCTGGAGGAGGGAAGTGTCTCTTTAACGTGCCAAACACCAACTCCCTGTATGGGGGGAGGCGCTGTGGCAACGGCTACCTGGAGGAGGGAGAGGAGTGTGACTGCGGGGATGAAGAGGTCAGTGGGTTTCTGTGCACAGGTGTCAGTATGTACAGGTGTCAGTATGTACAGGTGTCAGTATGTACAGGTGTCAGTATGTACAGGTGTCAGTATGTACAGGTGTCAGTATGTACAGGTGTCAGTATGTACAGGTGTCAGTATGTACAGGTGTCAGTATGTACAGGTGTCAGTATGTACAGGTGTCAGAGGTTTTATTCTTCAAATGTGTGTGTGTGTGTGTGTGTGTGTGTGTGTGTGTGTGTGTGTGTGTGTGTGTGTGTGTGTGTGTGTGTGTGTGTGTGTGTGTGTGTGTGTGTGTAGGAATGCGCCAGCCCCTGCTGTAATGCCAACAACTGCACCCTGAAAGCTGGAGCCGAGTGTGCTCATGGAGTCTGCTGTCACAACTGCAAGGTCAGGGGAGGGTGAAGCATTTCCACGTCCTGTAAATGGAAAATCCCTGTTGTTGTGGTGGGATTACACATTAGGATGTGCATTCTGCTGCTGTGGAACATTAATAATCTGTGATGGGATTGTGAGACACTTCCACCTGTTTGTAACTTCTGGTGTTCCATGTGTGTGTTCCTGTGAAGCTGAAGGAACCTGGAGATCTTTGCCGTGCTCCCTCTGGGCCCTGTGACCTGCCGGAGTACTGCGATGGAAAAACCGAGTCCTGCCCTGCTAACTTTTACCTGGTGGATGGGTCGTCGTGTGCAGAAGGGAAGGCTTACTGTTACACCGGCATGTGCCTGACCCTGGAGCTGCAGTGTCGTTCCCTCTGGGGGCGAGGTGAGACAACATCTGTAGATGTGGTGCTGCTGAACCCTGGTGCAGGTGTGGCGGTGTGAGCGTCCTGTCACAGTGTCCAGATCGATCATGCCACCTGGCTACTTGGCCAGGGGGATGTCCCTGTGGCTGACTGGTTAGCACACATGACTCTCGGATCCCGCCGGGCCCTCGTTTCTCCACCTGGCCACATAAACTCAGATTAGCATAAAGCATCACCTTGTTGGGCGGGAGCAGTCGTGGTGGAAAGTGGAGGCTGGGTGGGAAAAACCTAAAGGACAACATCTTTTTGAAGTAATCACCAAACTGTTAACTGCAGCAAATTTCAGTAATGGTAATAGAAATAGTTACAACTGATGGTTATAACTAGAGATGGACAACATATCACCATCGGCCGATGTTAGTCTTTTCTAACACATCAGTATCGGTCCGATAAATGAAACCAGGCTGATATTAACAACCCATTTGTTTTCCATCTTGTCTCCATTTGCCTGTTTCAGAGGGTGGTGTGTATTTGTTTAGTCATGTGAACAGTGAGTGTAATCATCTCAGAAGTGTAAATGTGTGTGTGTGTGTGTGTGTGTATACATAATAACTTAAATTCAGCTTTAATCATTTAATTCTAAGCAACATCTGCTGGTTTTAGAAGCATTAATGTCAGCATATCGGCATCGGCCATAACAGTGATATTAATATCGGTATCGGCCCAAAAATGTCATATCGGTGCATCGCTAGTTATAACCTTTCAAATTTTTTGTTCAAAATGTGTCTTTTGAAGACAGGCTGAGTGAAAACTGCATTTAGCGCCCTCAGACGAACATCACTGATGTGTTTGTGACAGATGCAGTAGAGAATTTCAGTTTCATGTATTTCTGTGGACCTTCCCCAGATGCACGCCCAGCCCCAGACCTGTGTTTTCAGGAGGTGAATAGAGCTGGCGACATGTACGGGAACTGTGGGAAAGATCAGCAGGGAAGCTACAGGAGCTGCAGCGACAGGTGGGGTCAGGGTTTCCCACAGGTAACTTGCATTCACTTCTCATTTTAAGTCCTTCTGAGTTTCGTCTTTTCACACACCAGGGACGCAAAATGTGGCAAAATTCAGTGTTCGACCTCAGCCTCCAAACCCATCGAGAACAATGCCGTTCGCATAGAGACCACCGTCACAGGGGACAAGAAGAAGATCCTGTGTTTAGGCACACACGTGTACAATCTGCAGCCAGACGAGGAGCCACAGGGGGACACTCTGGACCCGGGCCTGGTCCTGACGGGAACCAAGTGTGGAGACGACTCGGTGAGACAGAAAACAGCTCGAGGTGAAGCTCCTGATGATGCTAGTCCTCACGTCTCTCTTTCCTCTGACAGATTTGCTTTAACGGAGGCTGTCGTAACGCATCGTTCCTTAGAGCTGGCGAGTGCACATCCAAGTGCCACGGACACGGAGTAAGTTCCTTGCAGCGGTGTTGGTATGATGGGTTTCTGTGGACCTGCAGCTTTGGAAACTTGTGTCGTCGGCAGCGGCGCAAAAGCTGCAACGCACCATGTCTTCACTTCTATTATCCGACTCGATCGTCCTTTGAGGGGACTCGAGACTAGTTGTTCAGTTTTGGCTTTAATTTTGTCTCCCAGCTGTGCAACAACAACCACAACTGCCACTGCGACTCGGGCTGGGCTCCTCCGTGGTGCAGCCAGAGCGGGTCAGGGGGGAGTGTGGATAGTGGGCCCGTCATCCCCCGAAGTGAGTCACGTGTTTTGCCGTTTGTTCTAATCATCTGCCCTCCCCTCGGTGGCTTTGTGTCCTTACTATTTGTTTTCCACCCATAAAGGCAGCCTCCTTCCTGTGCTGCTGCTTGTGGCTCTCTTTGCCTTTCTGTCAGCATGTGGATTGTGGTGGGGCTACAAACGTAAACACGTCCAGCTGAAAGCACCCGCCCCGCCTCCAGCACCAAAGTACGCCATTCTAGAGCGTCACGCGTTGATGATTTAGAGCAGCGACGCTCTGATGAGAGGTTCTTGTTGGGCCTTTTCTGTTCCAATTCACAGATGCTCAGTCACGGTGGAGGCCAGGCCTTTAAATGCTGCTGATGATGTCATCGGTCACGCCAACCCAGCGTTCATGGCTAAGAGTCAGAACTCGGTAAAGGAGCCTGACGGACGGTGATGACACACCTGTAATGTTTTGAATACTAGTGTTATTTTTTGCTCTTTCACCCTAAAGGCTTCTCCTCGTCCGAGCCCGTCTCGTCCAACTCCATCCAGACCTGCTGTTGTGCGTCCAGCGGGGAAGCCTCCGCCCGTACTCTCCAGCGCTGCCGAGCAGAAACCACAGACGTCTCGGGGCTCACCTGCTGCCTCTCTTCCTCAGAGACACGTCTCTCCTCAGGGTTGCCTCCAACCTGTTTTTAGGTTTCCCCATGTCACTGTGCAGAAACCAAGCCGGGTGCCTCCGTCACTTCCAGGACCTCCATCGCTACCCTCCAACAATCCTAGAGGCCTATCCGAGCCATTAGCAACAAATAAGCATCGTCCAGACCCGCCAAAGAGGCCTCCACCTCCTTGTCCTGTTAAACAATCAGTGGTGAATACATTTGAAAATAATAAGAATGAGTGATATCATATGTAGTGAAATGGTTTCTTATTGTGCTGTTTTTGCAGGACCATCGTGTGAAAAGCCTACAGGCTACCACTAATGCTGCAAAAGCTCGTCTGGCGCCATCTGCTGGTCAGAATAAGCCAAATCAAGCCAGGTGAAATTTTAGGCCTGAGCAGCGAAGGCCTCTTGTTTCTTTTGCTTTTCTTTTTAAAGTGTCGTAAAACTTTTTCAGTAAAAAAAAAATCCTCAGAATCTCAGTTGTTAAGAATAAAAAAATACATATGAAAAGGTTTTTTCTTTGTGCGAAAATTTTAAACGTATTCATTCTTTTTTACTTTCCTCTTTTTTCATTTCATTTGTGTTTTTTCTTTTTCTTCCTTTCCATATTTCCTGTTTCTCTTCTTCCTACTTTTCTAGTTTTTTTGTTCTTTGTTACCATTCCGTCTTCTTCTACTTAATTATAATAATGATAATAATGATAATAATAATGATAACAATAATAATAATAATAACAACAATAATGATAATGATAATAATAATAAAAACAATAATAACAATAATGATAATAATAATAATAACAACAATAATTACAATAATAATAATAAGAGCAATGATGACAATAATAATAATAACACTAATAATATTAATAATAATAACAATAATAATAACAATAGTAATAATAATAACAACAATAATAATATTCATATTATTAATAATAATAATAGTAATAATACTACTACTAATAATAATAACAATAACAATAATGATAATACTACTACTAATAATAATAACAATAATAATAATAATAACAATAATGATAATAATAATAATGATATTACTAATAACAATAATAAAATTGTTGTTGTTGACGGATGTTTCCACCTTACATTTTGCTCTTTCCCATCTTGTCCTTCCAGAGTCTAAACTGGGAGCTCAGGGAGGCCCTCTGGAGACCACCACTTGTATTCAGTACTGGACAGCCGTTTACTCTTTTTTATTTAATAATAATAATTTAATAACACCTGCAGCACTGTGGTGTGTAATAAATCCTTGACGGTGTGTTTACATTGCCGTGCACTGACATGAAGGTGAACACGACATTTAGGCCTAAGCTTCTGTTTTCATGTTCTCATCTGCTTTGATCACTTGAAACAGCCAGAGCTGTCATGTTTCTCAGTGTTTTACTTTCCCATTTTTTGATTTAAATGTGAAGTTTTCTGATGGTATTTATTCAAAAAGGGTTCAAATTGAAAAGGAGAATGTTTACATCGCAGCTTTGTAACAAGCATGTAATCCGTTAGTCATCCGCTAGAAGAGAATGTCTTTTTATGACGTAACCCGGGAACATCCCGCATGCATGCTGCCAGTTAGTCAGAGCTGGGAGGCCTCTGAGGTTTTTATTATTGTTGTTGTTGTTGTCATGTTGCACTTTTGGGTTAAACTCACTATTTAAAGGCATAAAGGGTGAAAAGGTGATAACTCCCAGCAAGTATGAAATCTTTGAAGTCCATGAGGAGTGGTTGGTGAAAATGTTACTGTAAGGTGACCATTTTAACCCACGATGACTTTTATTCCTCTTTGCTGTACGTGCATCTGAAACTGGAAACCCAATGAACACATGTATGAATAAAAGTGTGTTCAACTTTTGCAAAGGTTGCTTCTTCTGCGTATTAAAGCTGTTCCGTGCTAAACTAGACAGAAAAGCTGCAGCTCTGTTGGACGTACACTAGAGGCTATAAACAACAAGCATTCAGAAACGCGTCCTATGGGACCATCTTTGTGGTATTTTGTCAAACTTTGTACGACAATTTGTAGATTTCTTGTATCATGGTGCTTAAAAAACAAAAATCCAGGTTTTTATATTAAAATATGAATAGATAAATGTCTAAACGTGTTCTGTTCCACGATGCAACACTACAGCACTTCCCTGTGTCATGGTCTGCGTCTGTGTCTTCCTTCATGTGTCTCCTGATGTTTCTCCATCCCTCTCTAGATTCCCTTCTGTGTCTCTTAGCGCCCTCATGTGTCTTTTGTCTGCGTCTCAGTTACGTGTCTTATGTTGTTACCCTTTTTAATAATTCCTCCCAGGTCAGCTCCAGCCTCTTTGTCTCCAGCTCAGTGTGTGTGTGTGTGTGTGTGTGTGTGTGTGTGTGTGTGTGTGTGTGTGTGTGTGTGTGTGTGTGTGTGTGTGTGTGTGTTTGTGCTATGTCCTCCTCCAGCTAGTATGTGTGAGCCCTTCCCTCTGTCTTCAGATATTGTTGTTTAGTTTTGTGTTTCGGTATTTGCCCTCCTCTGTTTCTGTTTTCCCCGTTTAGATAATTATTGTCACCTGCCTTCCCTCCAGCCCTCACCTGCTTCCTGTTTCCTGAACTGTTCTCCCTGTGTATTTAAGCCCTGTCTTGTCTCTGTTTGGTGTCGGTCCATTGTTTCTATTCTGTCAACGTTTGGTCGTGCTCTGTGTGAGTTTTTTGTCTCATCCCAGTCTGTGCTCTTGGTGAGCTTTGTTTCTCCTGCTTTGGAGTTTTGGACTTTAGGCTCGCTGCCATTGGGTTTATTTTTGTTCATCCTCAAATAATAGGATGTTTTCTTTATATCTACTCCTGCCTCGTGTCCTCCTGGGTATCTGCATATTTGGGTCCTAAACATCCTCGAAACATGACACATGGTTTATCTTGATTTTGTGTTTCTAGGCTTTATTAGAACAAAAGGAGGGAAGAGATGGGAGAGATGTGAATTTGAGTCACATGGCTTAAAGTCAAGTCACAAGTTTTTTTTTTACTACAGACTCAGCTTGAAGAAATAACAATGGCTCTTTTGAAACGGTTTGGCATCTGTTTTTGATTATTTATACTTGGCTTTTTCTTTGAGTTTAAGTTTATTTAGAAAAAGGGTGTATTTGTGTCTACGGCGTAAGGCGGACCGTAGCGGTGAGTACGTCGTGACCCGGAGGGGGAGGACCCAACCTACCTGGATGTCTCACGTCTTATTCTGGAAGTTGTGCAAATGCAGCGATGGGAGCGGCTTGGGGGTGGGAGGCTGTTTGATGAGTTTCAGATGGTGGGTTTTTATTTTTTATGGGACATATTATAGTCCTGTGAGTCAGTCAGAGGGTAAAATGCTTTTGTCTGTTTATCTAAGCACTAAACCAATTCTAGGGAATGTTTTTAAATGAGTAAATCACAAATTAATAAGCCTTTTATCAATTCCATAACAAGATAGCCCGACAAATAAATGAGTTGAATTAGGACAAAATCAGGTTCAGAGAACTTTAAAAGAAACTTTAGAAGGATCAACAGGAGGCTGATGCACCGCTCAGGTCTTCGATGGTTATTTTTAGGCTTTTCTCATCCAGATACATTCAACCGCTGACGACAGACTTTTTATCACCTCTTCTTCTGTCTTCAGTCAGTCCAAATCATCTAAATGGATAAAGCCTCATTTATACTTCTCCCTCAGCTCTGAGAGGGAGAGACGCTCTGCTGTCAGACTTCTCTTTCAGCTGGGGATTGTTGCAAAACAGTTCCCCGCCAGGACAACAGAGGGCGTAGCGCTCTTCTGAGGTACGCTGCCACCATTACAGTCACAAGTCCAGTCCACAGTAGTGCATTTACTATTGTGTTTACTTTGTTTAAAAGTATTTTAAGAACTTTTAACCACGGACAAATGTGTCCCTCTTTCCGCTCCGCCTCCTCATGCGATCCTCTAAATCGACGTTTCTCTTGTTTTCCATCCACAAATAAAGCATTGCTGCACATTTGAACTTCTTCAGTCACGGATGAATAAATGTCCATATTTTAAAACTTTTTCCATGATGCATTCTTCAATCTGTTCCATGTCTGCCGCTAGATATCTTTTTATTTTTGGTGACAGTGCTGTTGACCATATTGAATATATATGTCCATCCATTTTCTTCTGCTGCTTATTCGGAGTCAGGTCGCAGGGGCAGCAGCTCAAACTTCCCTCTCCCCAGCCACTTGGGCCAGCTCCTCCAGGGAATCCCAAGGCGTTCCCTAGCCAGGTGAGAGACATAGTCCCTCCAGTGTGTCCTGGGTCTACCTTTAGGATGACTCCCGGTTGGACGTGCCCGGAAAACCTCACCAGGGAGGCGTTCAGGAGGCATTCTGACCAGATGCCTGAGCCACCTCAACCGGCTCCTCTCGTGGGGGAGCAGCGGGTCTACTCTGAACATATATGTCTGTGCTGTTGACGAATCAAAACAGGAAGCAGTGTCCTGACCAGTAACAAGCTTGTGGTCTCCGTTTCTTTCGTCGGATAGTTAAAATTTGGGGCATGTCTCCGTCTTCCTCTGCAAGCTCAGAGGGCTCTTGCGTCAACACATAATGGCGCCTTGGGTCAACTCCTGTCAATGACCTGTCTGTTACTGGCTGACTCTAAGGTGGAGACGCCCATGGTTCAGAGATTTCTCAACCACGCCCTGCTGCTGCTCACCTACACAACATTCCTCTGCACCCGTAAATAGGATGGCAACATCCTAAATGGTGGAACTATCTGGTGACAGGTCTGGCCGATGTGAAGGCTAACTATGTGGTTGTGAAAGCTTACCAGTTTACCACCCTGACAAGCACACAGCTGCTGAACTGCTTTGTCATCCCGGTGCTGATGGTGCTGTTCTGGTTCTTCCTGAAGACGTGCTACAAGCTGGTTCACTTCGTAGCAGTGATGGTGTGCTTATTGGGGATGAGGGCCAATGTGGGAGCTTTCTTTTTGGCTGGAGGAGATCGGGGATCCACCAGTGACGTGTTGCTAGGAGACAGCCTGGTGCTGCTCAGTGCCTGTATGCTGTATCAAATATATGCCGGTGAAGAACGGGAGCCGGAGGGGGTTCTGGGCATGATGGGCCTCTTTGGGACTCTCATCAGTGTAAATGCTATCCATTTAAACCTAGAAAATAAATTAGACAATCTAGTTTTTAAAAGTGAGTTGTTCATTAACTAACGTTAGCATAACATGAATCTGACATATTCATTAAATATTGATATAGCTATATATCAGTATAAAGAAATAAAATTGGCCCTTACCACCTGTAGATCATCCACCGCGGGCGGATATGGCAGGTTTCTGATTCTGGACGCATTAGGACCTTCTTTTTCTACAGTCACTGGTCAGGACCAGGAGTAGTTCGATAATCATCTGTGACGGTGTCCAGAAAGGGTCAATTTCTTTTTCCAATCATAACACAAGGTCACATTTTTCCTCACGTCAAGCTTTATTTCACATGAAACATGGTAACATGGGCTTGCACTAAGCTGATTAGATGATTTTAAAGGGCAAATAAAAGTTAACCCATTTTGCACATTTAAACCTTTCAAGTGATAATGGATTAAATCAATAATTTTTACACAAATTAAAATATAAACATCTATTTGGTTGTTTTATTTGACCAGGACTTCATTGGAAATGAGGTGTTTACGCTCAATGTGACCTTCCTGGTTAAATAAAGAATAAATAAAATAAAAATGAATAATGTTATGACATAAAACTGTCTCAGAGTTCAGTCATTTTAACTCTACCCGGTGTTTTATTTCAGTCCGTAACCCTGGCTAACAGAAGTGACGACCGTTCTCAGACCTACTGAAGTGTCCCTGCCCTTTAAAACCTCTACTGAGATGAAAACTCACCGATATAGTCTGATCAAAACATCATTAAATACCAGGACCACACACACACACACACACACACACACACACACACACACACACACACACACACACACACACACACACACACACACACACACACACACACACACACACACACACACACACATGCTCATCAGGTCCATGAAGATCCAGCTGATCTCCCTCAGGACCAAAGGGAGGTGATGGTCTCAGGCTGAGCATAATTAGTGACAGCAGCCAGTAGAGGTCCATTTATTAAAGATGATGATTGGCTGACAGATAAAACAGCGAGGTGAGACCCCTGCCTCCCTCACAGCGGGACCCCCACCCCCGTGTGTTATGACACATTTAACAGCAGTTGTTTTCACTTGTGATGCTGATTCTCACACAGCCGTGTCTGCAGTCAGGAGCAGAAGCAGCTCTCTGCTAAACTTTAACTTTTCATCCAAAAACAGTGACCGACCCTGACCTGAAGAACTCATGTCGTCCGTAAAGAGACAATGTGTAATTTTACCGTTAACCTCTGGAATTATCCATTGAAAAGTTGTTGAAAATGAATAAATGATGTCCAGTTGTCTAAAGCACATAGGGCGTGGATCTAGCGTCTTTGGGACGCCATATTAGACGCCATGTTTGCTTTTGGCCGGTTCGAGGTCCTCCGCCTGTCAATGACGTCAGACTAGATAACCGGCTGGGCATACGACTTACAGAATTGATGTTAACACATTGAAAATGATTAGTTAGAAACACAAACTTAACAACAAAACTGCTAAACTCTTTCCTAAACACATGTGAACGAACGGAATCGAAAAAGAGATGCAATACATTTTGGCTGAGTGGTATTGCAGTAGGATGATGATGTCATCAGCAGGCGCAGGAAACTACAATCAGCACTTGTTCAGCATTGGATTCTCCGTCAAAGTCTGAAGAGTAACGCCGAGGTCACAAGCTTTCTGCTCCACAGGTATCAACATTTACCGTAATGTTTTTTTAAACATTAGCCACAGTCAGGACAACATGGTGTAAAACTACCCTGAAATGTACATGTACTGCCCCCTAGTGGCAGAGAGCACAGACCTAAAGAGTCTTCGTCCTCCCCAGTGACGCTTCTCATGTGGAACTGGAGATGAATAATTAACGCTATGGAAAAAATGCATCAGTATTGAAAATGGTTCTGTTCTACACTCAGTTTCACTGCCTCTGGTGCAGGAGGTATTGATTTTACCTAATGGGAGATGAAATTAGGCTCATGTAGGTACTTTACAGCTAGAAGTGTTCATCAGTGTCAGAAACATCGTTTAGGCAAAAGGTTAAAGCTCCGCTCCAGATGTCGATGTCAACAACCGTTTCCTGTGCAGATTTTTATATTTATGTTTTTATTTAAGTTTAGAGAAGTCGTTTAGTGCAGCCAAGGTCTCTGTTTTAGTTAAATATTACAATGTATTATTATTATTATTATTACTATTATTATTATTATTATTACTGGTAGAAGTAATAATAATAATAATTAATAATAATAATAATAATAATAATAATAATAATAATAATAATAATAATAATAATAATGTAATAGAATGAAATTACTGTTTTCCACCTAAAAGTCTCGCCTCTCCTCAGCAAGAACTAGTCTGCATGAGATATTGTTCAAGGTCGCAAATATTTGTACTGTTTTCCTTTCCAGCCCAATCTTTGTATTTTAGGACTTGGTGCTAGGTTTCTTTTTGTTTATTAATTTGCATTAGATGCCATTTTGTTGTGTCTACATTGAAGTGCCCTGTGTTGTGCTCTCTCTCCTCTTCTGAGTTTCGTCGATGATCCTCGATTCCTGGGGGTGGACCTATGATTCGTCATCGGATTCTACTCCTCCTGATGGGTGTTCTGGCTCATAGGACCTGGACGACCGTGGATTCCGGCATGGTTGCTGGGATTCTTCGCTCACTGGGACCTGACCTACCTGCTGCTCTTTCCCGCACTGGATCACGATAAGTGCAATTACAAAGATCAATATACTATTTTGGAAGTATTCCCTACCCATGGATATATAAAGTTTTGCTCCTGCTTCATATTATTACCTCCACGTGGATACTCTGCTGACTTGTGTGCTTCCAAAGGGATTATGCGAGACTGTTGAAACCATGTACTGTTCTTCGGAGTGGGGTTCGTACCTCACCACTTTTGGCCTCTTCCTGGGGAACTGCACCTCCCCCTGTCGTCGGGGTCCCTATAGGACTCTGGTTTGTTCAACACCAGGTGGTCTCTGTACGGACCACCGTACCATTGAAAAGGGGGGATATGTAACGGAATGAAATGACTGTTTTCCACCTAAAAGTCATTTCCCCCACTCCTCTGACACAGAACTAGTCTGCATGAGATATTGCTCAAGGTCTCATGCATTTGCTTCTAATCTGCTTTCCTTTCCAGCCCAAGAGAAGAATGAAGACAAAGGACTCTTTCTTTTCAATAGATCAAAGGACTCTATTTTTAATAAGCTACTCAAACAAAGTGTTAGTCAATAATAAGATGTGACCAATTTGTGAAATGAAAATATTAATTACTTGATATTATAATCCTATAGAATATAATAAGTAAAACAACTTTTAATGTTTCCACTAGAGACTGATCTCACGCAGCGTTAAGACATGACACATTGCTTTTACTGATCCAATCAGAATCTGCCAGATCTGACGGAGGCGTGGTTTTGGTGGTGCTTGGTAAATCTGTCATCTTTTCATTTGACCATAAATCAAAACATCCTAAGTATAAAACTATGCCCACGTCATCTTTAACGCCAGTTCAAAGCGTTCTAGAGAAGTGTCGGAGTGGCCAATCCGTAACTTTCCTCTTCAGCCAAAAGAACCAACGACAAGCTGGATAAAATCTGTTGCTGTTCCACCTGCTGCAACGGTTCCTTTCATAATAAAAGTTGAACCATCACAACCCCGTTTTGGGTCTTGTTAGATGCCGATAAACTGTCGTGACCCGGAAGTATCTCAAAGACTGGACTGGTCAGCGGCCGCGGCTGTTCTACAGGCTTCGGCTCCAGAAAGGTCCAAGCTGGACCTCTACACCTCCTGATCTAACGGGAACTTCCGCTAAGGGTACGTAGACTGACAGAATGGCGTCTTATGTGTTTATGAATCTCTGCATCAAAGCTTAACGCGACGACATCACATTCATTCCCACCAGAACTAATCGTTTCTCCGGATTTGCTGGTTCTGAACAACATTCCACATTACACCATTCTCCGTCTCATTCACCTTAGTTACACCATACATTTAGTGTTTAAGTTAGTCTAGTTTTAATTTGTTTAGTAATAAATCTTTAAACTTATAATTCTAATAATAATAGTAGTAATAATAATAATAATAATAATAATAGTAATAATAATAGTAGTAGTAGTAGTAATAATAATAGTAATAATAATAATAATAATAGTAGTAGTAATAGTAGTAGTAAAAAAAAAATAATAATAATAATAATAATAGTAATAATAATAATAATAATAGCAATAATAATAATATTAATAACGAAAATAATAATAATATAATAATAATAGTAATAACAATAATAATAGTAATAATAACAATAATAATAGTAATAATAATAGTAACAATAATAACAATAATAATAGTAATAATAATAATAATAATAATAATAATAATTACAGTAATACGTTTGGGTGAATAAAAACCTGTGAAAGTGCCTGAGACTGATGGATTACAGGGTTGTGAAAGTAGTTTAATTTGATGTTTATTTGCTGAATAGAGAACAAATGACCTTTTGTGAATGATTTAATCTAATCTATGATTGTAGTGGATTGTGTTTACAAACACGACGCAGCCCAACAACAGGTCTTCTCTCCTCACATGATCTCATTTAACTTTTACTTCTGCACAAAAATGAGCCCAAGATGAATGGTTTTAATAAATGAATCAAGAAACTTTAAACCTGGGCTCATTCTGAGCAAATGTCTTGAGCTGCTTGTCTTTCCTCTTTTTTACATTATATGTCCAGATAATATCGTCCTCCAGTTGGAAGACTGGGATTAATAATAGAAGAGAGCTGAGTGAAGGTCCTGCTTATAGAAAGTGCTGTTTGGGTGATGGGGGATGGAGGACCAGGGTTAGGGTTAGGGCTGTGGGGCAAGCGAGCGTGTGTCTGTGTCCTCTTAGGTAAATCCTGGGTTTTGTGTGATGGATGAAAACTCTTGAGAGCACTTCTTTTACTGAGACCATTTGTCTGATGTGTAATGTGATCCGTATAGGGCAGAGGTGTGGACTCGAGTCACACAACTTGGACTTGAGTCAGACTCGAGTCATTATTTTAATGACTTTTGACTTGACTTGATAAAATCTATAAAGACTTATGGCTTGACTCGGACTTGAACGCCAATGCCTTGTGACTTGAACTGACTTGCATCTGTTGACTTAATGATGACTTGAGCGTATTTGATGGACATGGACAAAAATCATAAATCATTCTTGGTTGTGGGTTCCATCTTGTTCTGCTAACTGCAGCAGCTCTTTGTTTATAATCAGTTTCAGTTGCACTTTCTGCTGTTTGAGTGAATAAATGAAGCTTTAAGGAGCTTTTATTCTGGAATTTATTTATTATCATTGTCATTAAATTGAAGTTGGACAGATGACTTGATTATGACTTGAAAATTCAAAGTTAAGGACTTGGACTCGATTTGGAATTCCACATCATTGACTTTGGACTTGACTTGGACTTGGTTGTCTTTGACTCAAGAATTGACTGGAAAGACTTGTGACTTGCAAAGCAGTGACTTGGTCATACCTCTGGTGAAGGGCATTCCTCAGACCCTGGATCAAGTCTTGATCAGATTTCACTCTGTTTTACATCGTTCGTTTAATACTTATAAATATCTGAAAGAATAATTTCAAATTCTGCCAGATTTATCATGTGTTGTGCAAGCAGCTGCTCAGGAATCACACCGTTAGTTCAGAAGTGCTATTTTATTCCTGTCAAACGGTCACTATTGGTGTTTTCTGTTGCAACTGGCTGATTAGAGCCTGTGCATGCCGCTGAAGGTTGTTGTTTTTATACATTTGTTTGGGTGTAATGCCCATCAGAATAAGTCGCAGCTTCTGGTATTTTAACGTGACCTTCTGTAGTTTGTGATGCAGTCCCCTGAAAGCATTAAGCTAGTTCCTCTCTGCTTTAGAGCAACCTGGTTAGCATCAGCAGCTCCAGGCTTTCCTGTTCAAATTGGATAAAATCCCACTAGTGTAGATTTACCGGCTCATTAATTGGTTTAAATGTCAAACCCAGGAGCCCAAGCAGGAAATCCCTGGGGTGTTGGTCACACAGTGTCTCTATAGATGGCTCTACAGCAGTTATTTATGAACGGCAACATTCAATTATTCCTCTGCTCCAACAGTGGCTGATGCATTTTCAGTCCATTAATGGGCGTCGAACTTTATTTTTGCTGCAGTGTTTATGGCCAGGTCATCACTCTGGGGACTGATGGTGGGATGTAAGTGTTGCTCTGATTTAATAACTCGCCTCTGGCAACAAAAGGTTGACATACATGATTAATGAGAGGAGAATGTCATAAGAGATGGGAGACGTTAAGTAACTATGGAATGACTACATCCCAATGCTCTTACAGATGATCCCAAACCACGGTCTAAGGCTGCTATTTAGTACTTCTCAGAGGCAGAACGCTCTAGACGTCATTTCTACACATTCAGCTGTGAGATCCTGACATATGTGATTCCAGATCAATGAAGAAGGAATTCCTTATGAGCTTCCCGCAGAGAAGAGTCCACCGACACCTTATTAGGATCCCCATTAACACGTTAATGACTCCGTGTCAGCAGGATCTCGTTAAGACTGCACCTGCAGGTTCACAAGAGACCTGATGAAATAATCACAGCCAGAATACTTTTTCACACAACTTTTATTGAAAACTTCTGTCACATTTAATGCAAACACAGTTCCCAGAGTTAACAGAGCTTTATTCTCACACTTCTAGACTAGCTAGCTCTACAACGGTTTCTAGGATCGTTACTTTCTGCGGCGTTATTCCGAGCTCTCTGCGTAGGAAGAGACGCTGTGTTCTAAAATCAAGCTTTATTTACAGCCACTGATAACAAGTTTACAATCATTTGAATCTATTCTGCTTCCTAAAGATCTAAGTTTCTTTCTACGTGGATGACACTGCTGTATCTGTAGTCCTCTTGGTTTCAGCCCTTACCTTTGAACAAAACTAACTACAGCAGACAGAACATCAGTGATTTACTCTGCAGCTCTCAGAGGTTTGGTTTGTCCTCTTTAGCTTGGTGTTCCCACGGCACCGGGTCATTTTCCTCTGTTTGCGATCCGGTCTCTCTCTCTTGCCAGAACTGCTCCACATCAGGAAAGACCATCCCGTCTTTCAGGCTCACCCTGTCCTCTTCGTTCCCACTCCTTTCTGCACCTTCCTCCAGCTGGAGCTGACTCCCACGGCTTGGTTCTTGGCTGAAGCTGAACTGGCGACTCCTCGCTTTGCTCAGCTGGCCTGACGTTTCTGGTCTGGGACAAGGAGACTGGAGAGAGGTAGGATTGTGCGGTCCAGGTTTAGGTTTCGGTGCAGGCTGCTTGCGCAGGGTGAGGCGCCTCCACAGACCTCTGTAACTTTCTCTGAACTCCTCAGAGAGGAAGAGGACGATGAGAGGGTTCACCAACGACAGAGAGAAGGTGAGCAGCTGAGCAGAAAGGGTCAGGAAAATAGGTGGAGAGGAGATGAGGGGCTGTCCTTCAGTTTCTTTACCCGCTACGTGACGCTCCCAAACCCACACCACCCACTGGGGTAGCCAGAGCACAGCCATGGCCACGGTGAGGCTGAAGAGCATTAAGGTGAGCCTCCTGGATCGGATCTGAGTGCGCAGATTCTGAGTTTTACTGGAGCGGCGCTGGCAGTGGCCGTAAGCCTTCCAGAAGTACATCAGGGCAAAGCTAAGAGGAGCACCGTAGACCCCCAGAGGGTATGCTTTGACATACACTGACATGAAATCCCGGGCTTCAGGAGAGACCCTCAGCACACACACAAGTCCGTGAATCCCTTCCTCCAGCTTTGCAAAAAGCCACAGAGGGATGGTGACGGAGCATGCAGACAGCCAGAGGAAGAAGAGCACCACCAGGATGTTGCCCGTGTGGATGCTCACCTGCCTGGTGGGGTTTGATACATAGCGGCAGCATGCTTTGGCCATGAACGCCACAGTGAGGCTCTTTGCCGCCATGCAGGACTGGAGGAACCAGTCGGCCGTCTTGCACACAGCCCATCCCAGATTCCAGCTGGCCTTGGAGTACGACGCAGCCCTGAAAGGCACCGTGAACATCAGCAGGAGCCCGTCTGCAAACATCAGGTTGAAGATGAGAGAGTTGATGAGAGACAGTTTGCCCCTGTGTGCGTTTGAGCACAGGATGACCACTGCAGTCAGGTTACAAGCCACCCCCAACACACAGATGACTCCCAGGATGGCTGGTACCAGGACCCTGAGCTCATTAGGATCCAGGTGCTGGAACGAGTCACGGTCATTGAAGATCCACGTGTAGACGGAGCTGTTCACCACACTCCCATTGCCCCCCATTGGCTTTTCCATTGATTTCAACGAGATGGGGATCTAAAACAAAAAATGGTTTTTAGTAAAATCAAAGATTAAAAAAGCTTCTTGGTGGAAACTGCTTGGACCACACCGGAGCTCCTACCTGGTTCCGCGTTATCCTGAGACGCGGCGCTGCAGCCTCTGAGGCCAATTATAAAGATGCTGTTTGATTGACAGCTGGCATCCCCAGCTGGGAAAAAGCACTCTGGCTACACCCACATGGGGCCAATCAGCAAAACTCAGCATAATGTGTCCAAATGATTCTAGTGGAGGTCTAACTCTGAGACTAATCAGCCACATTAGGGTTTTACAAACACTGAGTAAGTCTGGAGGTTCAATCAAGAGTCACAAAAAGCTGAGATGAGATCAGTCAGAAGTGACGCTTTTACATTTACGTAGACCAACTCCTGCAGGGGCTCGGGCCACCAGATGGCGCCCTCACCCCACACGCTGCACAGGTCTGACACACTGATTCAACAGATGCTCACAGGTCAGAACACGAGCTTGCAAATCTTTATTCTTTTTTATTCAAAGTGAAGTCCCGTAAGCATAAAGACTGCATGGCATTCCGATACATTCTGAGCTATAAAAGTTGGTTTGTTTCAATTACAAGTGTCACAAAGAAGCTTGTTTAGAAGGTTTTACTGTTAAATGAATCACAATTAAATATTCCCTGATTTTCACAGAGTTCAGTCAGGCCTCAGGCTGCTTCGCTTCACGGGAGTCGGCTCCGGGATAATCCATCAACTGGTCCGAGTGCTGCGGCACAACCCGCTGTCGTAGACGTCGCTCGTCATGGGCCAGAAGAGAAACATGCACAAAGACCAGAACTATCCAAAATAAAGCATGTCCTTCACAGCCTGTGTGCCTCAAATGAGCTGTAGATGTTCACATGACTAAATGCAGGCTGTTGAATTCAGCAGAACCAGAGCATGCAAACGTTTAGGTTTCCATCTACAGATCATTTTCAGCACCATCCAGGCAAAATTACATCTGGTGAAGAATTCAGATTCTCTTCTGGAAAATTCTTTTTGAAGAGAGAAAAAGAAAGAAGTGGCTACGTCGTTTTTCACTTGAGTCAAGGACATCAGGCAGGCTGTCCAGGTCCTGACCTAACCCATGTCCTGTAACACCTCGTCCCCATGGGATCCTGCACACAGACTTCTGTCTTCTGTTCTTGTCGTTTGGTAAGAAAGAAGAAGGGACGAGAGCAAAAATCCTACGTACCCCCCCCCCCCCCCCCCCCCATGCTGAATACATCACAACCCCCACATACCAAAAAGAAGGCACCACAGCTTCTAAACAGACCAAGAGAAGGACTCAACAAAACAACAGATTTAAATGAAACACTCTGGAGCCCAGAAGGGCTCCGTTCACATCACAGACTACAGACGTCTCGCCATGGAGACACAAAACCGGTTCTAGTGAGACCCACTCAGTTTCTGGGGCTGGGCTCTAACAGTCTTCTCCACTCAGCGTCCGCTGCTCAGGGTCCTCACATGCACCGCAGCATGAGAAAGAAAGACAGGGGGAGCTGATGCTACACGACACCGAGCCACCCGCGTCCTGTGGGCTCATCCGCCCTCCTCCGCAGGGTCAGAGGGCTGCTGCGTAACGTTTCTCACGCAGCGAACCTCCTGTTGCATAAATGCACTGGAACCACTTCTGCTGGTCCGCGTGGTTAAAATCATTTACATTAGAAGCCATCTTGTGGAATGAAGCTCTCTCCCCCTCACATCCTTTTTACCGGCCACGTCCCCACATCAGTCCGAGGATGGCCGACCCCAGGG